ATAGATTATTGTAATACAACTGATAATATATAATATTACTAAAATATTTGTTTCATGTTTTTTTTTATTATGCAAATAGGACAATTGTCTCATTATAGCTCAAAAAATTGGAAATTGTCTATGTCTATTGTCTATAAAATCAGCTATAATCGATGCTGATAAAATATGTTTGTGTTTTCAAGCCAATAACAATGTGTTAAGCTATTTATAAATGGTACCTACTATCTTGGTTTTCGTCGATAACGTACCGAGTTCTAAAAAACCCACAGGACAACACACGGGTCGCAATTTGCGTATCTACTATTGGGAAAATATTATTATGATTATTTATGGATAAAGTAATATTCAGAATACATCATTTACGGGACCCGGGGCGGCCACACCGCTTGCCCCCTCCCTCTGTTACAGGCACTATTACCGATAAACAGTTGTATAACAGTAAACTGCTAGGTAAACTGAATAGGTTTATTTTTTTCATTCAACTACTCACATTTTTTAACAATCCCTGCAGTTTGTTCCCTTCGTAATTCACACTGAACATATCGCATAATTCAATTATTTTTCTACGATTACTGTTCAATCCCAATTCAAAAACGTTATCATATTTGTTCAGTTTTGGAACAGGCAGCCAGATAATCAACTCCTGATTCATCTTACCAATATCAATTCTACCAATTAATCTTCAAAAACAGAATTCATATAAAAAAGAGCTGTTAGTATGAACGGGTGTGTCGTTGTAGATAGAAAGTTGTGAAGATAAGATTTTAAATCATAAAGTTTTAAATTATATCTATAAGCAACAATAAATTATTGCAAACAAGTAACGAATAATGAAAAAAATTCGGAGCGAATTTCGGTTTTACATGCTTTGAAAGGCCGTCATCGGACATAATATTTATGATTTTTGTCAAAATTTGATATTAAAACTATAATGAAAAAACCAATTACATTACATTACCTACAAATTTTTCTTAAGCCATTGAATACGGCTTTAATGAAACTCCTGTTAAATTTTCAACAACTAGCAAAATTAAAATGTCTATAAATAGCTCAAAAATGACTCAAATGTTTTGAAAATTTAATGACGTTAAAATGAATACTGATATTTTATCGAAATTTCATGCTCCTACAAATTTTTTTGAATAAATTACAATAAAATAACAAAATTGGAAATATTTTTGTAAACTTTCCTATTTGTTCTACGTTTTTATTCGGATTTACTCAATTATTAAACTACATGGAAAATCAAAAGACGACTTTCTTAATCGACAACTAATTAAAAAATGCAACAAAAAAGGTCTCTTAAAAATTAAAAACATTTAAATTGGTAACGCCACAGTGCACTATGCCGCTTTTTCTATAATTTTTTTCTGGTTTTCCCAATTGTTTCAAAAACTCCTTGGGAAATCAAAAAAATACCTCTCTAATGGGTAAACTATAGAAAAGTGTTATAAAAAACAAAAATAAAACCTTGTAAAAACCAATATATTTCTCGCTACGCACCGAATTTAAAATTGATGAATCGATAGTTAAACGTAAAACAAATTAAAAGAACGAGTCCCTCGTAACTGTATCGTAGCCAGTAAGTAAGAGGAGGCTAATTTACAAGTAGACAAAACAGGATAGTGAACGGTTTCATTTTCTTCAATTTTGCTTTTTTGTTCAAACACAGTTTCAGTTAAAAATAATCAAATAAACCTAAAATTTCCTTGTATACTTCTATAATTAATTTTTTCTAGTCGTAAAAAAATATTCAAAATATTCTTGAATTGTCAAGATGATTTTTGAGCTATTTATTTTTGAACTTTTTAGTTTTTATTTGGAAGGTATTATATGAATAAATTAAATTTGTTTGACCCGAATTAAATGCTTAAAAATTTAACTAAATTTTCCTTTTTGAATTGTAGTTGGTGTTAAAAAAATTGAATGTGACTAGGGTTGCAGTTTTTTTATTATACTATTAATAAGTTCAAATTTTAATAAAAATCAAAAAATGACTTGCTTGACTTTTCTTTTAGTGTACGAGACATTTTGTTCTTAAGTCATAAAACAATTTGTTATTTTAAATAATTATTTAACAATATGTGCATATTGAAAAATAAAATAAAATTAAAAAATTAAAAATAAAATCAAATCAAATAAATTTCAAAAAAGCTGTCCTAGGGATAATGGGGACGAGAGTGCAGCCACTGTTATAGGTGAGAAATTGAGAATGTAATAGACGTGAAATTGAATGTGTATCTGTACGCAACGATTAACCATTGCTAACGAAAAGCGATTCTGAGCGGAGTTCGGTTGATGTGTTGCTTTGTCAACAAGAACATGTCATAATATGGGAAAATAATTACATATATGCATTATATGTTTACTTTAATAATATTTATTTAATATCGTACCTATTTTCCTATGTTTTTCTCGGATTTCCTATATTTTTCCCATTTATTTAGAAAACTCCTCAGGTTATAAAAAAATGATCATATTAACTTTAAAGTTCCTCCTCAGTCCAATTTTTTTCCAGAAACAGTGTTATAATTTTAAATCTGAGAAAAATTGATGGCAGAAAAATTGTTTACAGAAAAAAAAAATAAAAATCATTATAAAACAAATATATTCTCCACATCCTCGCTCCACTCAGAATCTAAAATTAATATTTCATTTTAGGACATTTGAAAATGTTACACACACACGTAATTAAGATAACTATTAAAATTACAATTTACGATTATAATAACATTAACATTACCTGAGAACTAGTCCAAACTGTTTTTTTTGTTATCTGTGGAAAATCAAAACAACTTTTAATATATTACAAAATAAGTATTCATACTTTAAGAAACAAATAATAAAAATTGATCAATTAATTTCATATAGTAATAATAAATTAAATAAATATATATAAAATCTATGAAATTAACAAACAGAAAATTGTATAAATTAAAAAAAAATATTATTTCAAATCTTTACATTTTCCTTGTAAGAATGTGGATGTTGTCTATTTGTCTCACTAAAAACCTGTAGTTTGCTTCCCCTAATTTATGTGTTATTGCTCATTGCTGTCGCCGTTATATTTTGATTACTACCGTGTCCCCATCTACAACCGTGGTATTGATTATTTTCTTACAAGTTAAACCCTGACACGCCCTTGGGCTAAAATTTCACAGCTGTTTATTGTCGAATGAAGTGAAAAGGTTGCCAACAAAACATTTGCGTCGGACCAAATATACTAGACTGTTGATACACTGTCCCGTTTTTGCGGATCCCACAAGAATAGTTCCTTAATTAGAAATAAAAAAAAATAAACTATGTTGTATGTTATAACTAATGTTATACTAGAATTTATTGTTCCATAGTTTCATCTATAAACAATTTGTCTAGTTTAGATTTTACTAAGTTTGTTTTTTAAATGTATTTAAAAAATTAATTTTGTATCAGTTTTTTAGTTAGATGCACTTTTTAGTTTAAACACAATATATTAAACATTTTTTTTTTCTTAAAATTTGTAGTGTTCAATTCATTGATACAATAAAAATAACTAAATAACTAAAATAACTACCTACAATTACTTTAAAACTATTTGCGCATAAACCTTGAAAAAAGGGTGTTTGAATGAAACATTTTAAATTTCAAAACAACCATATTAGGTATAACCATTAACCATTAGGTATAATAAAGAGTTCACCTGATTGGCTTCATTCTATAAATGAAGTCCCGATGTTTGGCAAAATCTCTCGAATTTCCTTTTCCATCGTTACCAGTCATTTGATTTAAATGAAAACGCTTCTGAGATTTAATTTGATTCACAGACGAAATTTTTGTTATTATGTAGCTTTACGTGAAGTTTTTCACTGCTGCCACCATATTGTATTAATTATAATGCATGTTTAATTATTAACTAGTGATTTAATGGCTATTCGATCTCAAGATGAATAAGTCCATAAATTTACGGACTATGTTTTTGAAAATTATATTGATATCGAATCAATATCCCCTCCGGATGTTTGGTCGGAGTTTAATTCGACAATGCGAACAACAAACGCATGTGGATTATTCTATTCCCATTTTATACGCAGTCATCAATACCGAACCGGAAAGCAGTAATACTGAACGACAACTGAACGGATATGTGTAGATATCACCATTGCACAACATACAAATTTGAAACATCGGACACTGAACAGATATGTGTGAATAGACCTTTATAGATACGCGTATTGTATACAATTTTTAATTCTATTTTTATATTCTTGAATTATAATATGATATATTATTATCGACATATCGTCCTTATTTTTAAACTTCATAGGTATTTCTAATTTCGCGTTTGACTACGATTTACTATCTGTAGTGTACTGCAGTATAATATATGCATATATATTAGCTAACCTACAATAGGTACTAAACAAAGTACAAATCACTTTGTCAACCATTTACGTCATTTTCACAAAACCAATATCGCTAATAATTGTTTTATAGAATAATGTTTCAAACATTCTTCATTGAAAAACAGCATGATTCGGATGACAGGGAATTAGATAAATAATTTAAAGATAAAGGAATATATAATCGATTATTGAATATAGAAATGAGGAAGTTATTTTTTTTTTAAGGTAAATATGGACAGTGGCAAAAGACACATGTCATAACTTATTTTTTTCCTTTTTACCAACAGCAGTGGGGGATCTGTTTTCATTTTACTACACTCATTGTTGTCATCATTATTTTATCTTAATGATAAATAAAATAATATTATCTTAGAAATGATTAGCTAGCCATAGGGTTATCACCTCCTATAATAGCTAAAAATAAATTATAGGTACTGCCTGAATGAACATTTTCTTAGTACATATTTATGATTTAAGGGTTTATAGTCTATACAAATCTAATAAGTAATAATAATTTTAATGTTTTACTTAATGAATATTCATTTATCACATAAATAATATAAAAAAAGATTAATTATTTAAGTTCAATTGAATTAGTATTTAGTTTACTAAAATCACCAAGATAATAATGCACATTTATAAAAACAAATCATATTTATTTAAATGTTATTAAAAGTAAAAAAATAATATGTATTTAAAAATAGGGTAAGGAGACAGTCTCTATTTTACAATGTATGTATTAAAATTAAAATCTAAATTTATTATTTAATAAAACTATATTACCTAAATAACAGTATAATATTTATCAAGGAGTGATGTTAAACAAACATTATTTTTAATTTAAGTTACAGAAATTAATGCAGTCTCTAATGTATAGTTAAAACACAATAGTTATTGATTTGAAAAAAAAAAAAAAATAAATAAATACAATGTGATATAATTTGTGGGTATAATAATTTGAAAAAGGGAAAATTAGGAATACAAAATGGTAATATTTTAAATAATAATTGTCTTATAATTAAGCTAATTTCATTTTATAATAGTAGTTGTATGATGTAATATTTACAACAGTTTATATTTTATAATGCATTTACAAATATAATAATACTTTTAGTCTGGTGAGATTTTTTGGTCTAATATTGCCATAATAATTAGATATAAAAATAAATAAAATACATGAAAAAAAACTTAAATTATTATTTTAAAAACATAGATTCAAAATTAACTGAATTCAAAAAAATAACTAAATATAAAATTAAAAATGAACCGATAAGTTAAATTGAAACAAAATTAATTTATAAGATAACTGCCTAAAACAAATAGTAAATAGACACATGATTAACAGAGAGTTCTCTGCTGTAAAATTAATATTAGTTAAATTTTTTTTAAATAATATTAATCTAAAAACAGGAATAATATGCTTGAAAATATGTATGTAGAATATCTGATAAGTTACAAATTGTATAAATTATACAGCAGGGAACTGAAAGGTTACCTACCTAACCTTATACAAAATATTACATTAAATAGTCTTCTTCCCCTCAATAATGATATAGTATAAATTTACAGTACATCATCTTCACCATCGTCATCTTCACCTATACCATTGATACTATACCAAACAACTGTCACATTACTGGGTTTGAATTTGCTATTTTAGACAAAACAAAAATTAATCATTCATAATTCATCATTTATAATGATAATTTTTACAGTTTTATGCAACAGTAATATTAGAATAATTTTTATATACACATACCAGAAGTAAGAGAATGGACACCCTATGATAAACAATTCTGTGCCTGTTTTACCATATACTGTTACTCCTTCTTCATCAGCATTACTACTTTCAGCTTGATTGTTACTGTCTTCTTGTCTAAGGTATAACCGCCACATGCCTTTGTAATGACCACGAATATCTAGATCCCATATGCCTAGACACTATACAATATAGATGGTTTTCATTATAATATACTTAGGATTTTAGAATAAAAACAATTAATAAGTAGTCAGTAGTAAGAGTAAACTGGATTACTTTAGATACCTTTGCTAAGGGAGTCCAAGCAGTAGATGCAGCATCTTTATAACCATTGATTGGGTCTTCCATTTTAATGTATAATATGAATAATTTCTTAGATTTAATTGTATGATCATTATTCATCATTTCTTCAATTGTATAAAATTCTTCCTCAGCTTGCTGGTAGACTTTATCACCAACATACCCACTATTGTCACTACTCTTGCTGCTTCTGATTTTGGCGCTCAATTGTTTCTTTCGACAAGGCCATTTACTATGATCTAAAAGTTGACCCTCTGTTACAATTCTATGCTCCATCCACTTGAGGTATGTTGCTTGAGTCATCCTATGAGTAGGTTGTAATATATTCAATGAATATATTATATTCATGTATAAAACATTGTTATTGTTTGACATTATTAATGATTTTTGATTATATGTTTTAAAACTGGAGGTTTCTTAAATTTAAAATTAACAATTTGTTGAAGATCATAAAAATAAAACAAATTTACATTAAATATTCATATCAACATTATAAATTCAAAATGAGAAGACCCAATTAACTCTAAGTAAATTTACCTATTTCATATCTCTAATAATCAGAAATTAATTAAATTTTGTTTTTATCTTTTTTTTTAGTAATTATTTTTGTTCATTATACATTTTAGATTCTAAGCAAAAATTGTTAAACCAAAATACTTGAAAATTTAATAGCAGGTTCATTATAAAGTGTACTTCATGGTCAACAAGTTATTATTGAGTATAGTTGAGTTTAATGTAGTTTTTTTTATAAGAATTTTAGTAACAAATTTTGACAAAATCGCAAATATTTTGAGTTTATGACTTTTTAAAACATGTTAAACTAATGTATGACCTACAAAATTACATTAAGTTCCCCTACTATATACTACCTTCCTAACTTCACAATTATAACAGTGGCCCACCCATCGAAGTATGTCCTTCTTTTAACCTATTATTTTGCATTTTTCTCCATTTAATAATGTAAGTAAACATATTTTCCATCTATTAATCATATGTTCTTATCCCTGTGCATTAACTATTTATTTTATTAAGCTTGAAATATTCTGATTTTTGGATAACCTAATAATATATACTTCTATTTCTGAAACTAACAGTTTGATTAATGTGAAAAATGTCTGTCCGATTTTAATTTTACTGAAAACTTTTGAATAATTAGTACTAATAAAAATTACTTTGGTTTAAAAAAAATACTACTATTATAGATTTTGTTTTTTAAATATAATTCAGTTTGAAATATTTGTAGAGACATAAAATGTTGACAGAAAACTTCAATATACCTTTTTTAGGTGTAGTAAAACTTTCAGTACATTAAAACCATTTTGAGTTATTTAAAGACATTTTAATTTTGCAAGTTTTGTATGTAATTTATATTCAGTAGGTACTCTGTGGATAAAATTATTAGACCAAACTGAAATACTTGACAATTTGACAGAAGGTTCATAATAAGTTGTACTAAGTGATCAAAAAAAAAAACTTTTATTAGTAATGGTTTATCATTAACAGGTGTAAATTAAATAACTTTATGTATTACACTTTCTTAACTAGCCCCCTATATTAATAGCATGTATGGATATCAGCTCGTTTTTATCTTATCATATTCAGTTTCTTCTGGAGTTCTGTACAGTTTTCACATTTTTATTCATTTTATTTTCATCAATCATAAAAACTTTAATATACACTCTGGTTAGTTGTTTTATTTTTCAGAAAGTTGCTAATTACTTGTATTATTCAATCAGTAAATGACTCATATTTTATGAGTGTGACATTTAATGAAATTAAAAAATGGTGTCTAGAAAATGATATAAACTTATCTAGATGGAGTTTTATTTCTTTTTAAAACAAAAAAAGCTATAATGTATTTATGTTGAGTATCTAACTTTAGGGTTTTTACCATTATTCATATTAAGGACTCTAAAATCTAAAAAATACACTTACTTATCAATGTCTTTGAAACGAATCAAACCTCCTCCATAATCATATTCTCCACCAGTGCCACCACTATTAGATCCAATATTTATCTCATTAACAGCAGCATTATTGTAATTATAGAATGCATGACGACCGAAATATGAATGTTGAAAATATGGATTGACATTAACAGCTCGTGAAGAACCGAAATGATATGTTCTGCTAACTTCTGGTACCACACACTGCCGACCACGTTGCACTTTGTTTGTTCGCATCCACATGTCCCAATCCCAAGGCTATTAATCACAAAGATTCAAAAATAATTGAAGGTCAAAAAACCACTCTTACAAGATAAATATAGGTTCACTGACTTTTTCTACTGTTGGCCATTCTGATTCCAGTTGATCTTTGTACAGAGAACGGGTGAGCATCCAACCTAATCCAGGCATCCAGTCAACACGATACAGGACATCTGGTCGACTAGCAGTGTGCTCGTAACCTTGATCATTCCATGCAGATACACAGTACAATGATCCAGATCCACTGCCACTTCCACCACCACCACCACCACCACCACCACCACCACCATCTATAGACTCATCAGCTGCTGTTAACAAGGGCAGAGTCTGACTGAAGAAGCTAGAACCATAATAAATTTATTTTAAATCTTTTTTGTATTAATTCAAAATATATATATAGTTAAAGTTTATTTTATACTGTAGTAAATTACAATGTAATAAAGAACAGATTATTTCTAATAAAGATAACTATACCTAAAGAAGTCAACAGAAACCTCAAGATCGTCTTCCAGAACAATGGCATACTCAGCTTGAGGAAAAAGCACACTAAATGTGTTGGTTAATGCTGATTTGTAATGCTGAGTTACTCGACGTCTGCGCAAAGCACTACTACTGCCACCACTTATATGTCCTCCATCTATTCCATCATCATTAACTAAATCGCCAACAGCAGGCATGTGTTGTACAGCTCGAACACCCAGCAGCCGAGCCACTTCAACTGGTTCATCATAATAACCATCAACGTGAACAGTAACCATATGGCGTTGAACACCTCGAGCATTTAGCACAGATTTCAATGTCCTATAATTATAACATGTTAACAACAACTATGGTCTAAAGTGATTTTTGTATCATGAATCAGCAATTTTCTCCTAGGATTTTGTGATTTGATTTGCTTTTTTTTTAATCATTGTGTAATTGTTTAAACTTTGTTTTGAAATTATTTTTAATTTTTATATATACCTCAAATAAATATATATTTTTGTGTTTAACCTTAAAAAATTAAAAATGATTTTAAAATAAAACTTTATGGATTCCACAATGATTAAAACAAACAAAAATCACCCTGTATAACATAATCCATCTATGTATTTGGTGAAAATATTTACCTATAAAGATAGTCAGCTCGATTGCCCGCAATTATAACCACTGGAACCTGTTCAATATTTGAATCGGGAATCTGTAGGAAAACAAACAATTCAATTTATTACATTCAAATATTTTTAAAACATTCAATTGAATTTTATTTATAATTATTCACCATAAGATATTACTGGTCAAAATATTACTAATATTTCATTTACTCTATTAATTTTAATACATATTTTTTTTTACATCTTCAACATGTGTTTTCGTAATGAAAAATTTGTTTTTTGTGTTTGTAAACAACTTTTTTACTAGAATACACTACAACACCTATTCTAAAAGGTACTTTTTTCTGGATGTTGCATTGGGGAGGTCATTTTTTGATTTTCTAATGGATTTTTAAAATAGATAAATGATGATAGATCTTTTTTGTTGTATTTTTAATGTGGTTAAAACTAAAAAATACATAGAAAAACAGGAAAATTGATCTTATTTTCTTATTGTAATTTAGTTTAAAATATTCGTACTGTTGATAGAAAACTTATATTTACTTTTTTTAAATGTGGTAAAACTCTGAACATTTTGAGCTATTTTTGAGCAATTTATAAATATCTTTATTTTAGAAGTTTTTTAATAATTTTAATAAACAATTATAGATAAATTGTTAGACTTGAAACAGAAATGCTCAAAAATTTGATAGGAAGTTTTTTTTTTATAAAAGTTTTAAAATAAAATTTTGATGTAAATCTTAAATATTATGGCCTTTCAAAAACATACATTTTAGTTAGCAATGGTTTATCATTTGGTTATAAGTATAAATTGAATAACTTTATGAATCCCATCTTTCTAACTATCTACCTACAACAAGTGCCTGCACTCATCTTCAGTATCAACTATTTTTTATACATATATATTAGGTAAAACAAAATATTTAAAAATAATAATTCAACTTTAAATATTTAGTTTTAAACAAATTATTTTAAATATTATAATCAATATTATAGTTTATTGTAATATTACATTTTATATGCAAAATATGCGAATGCAAAAAAACTATACAAACATGTGTTCATTATCATTGCTAATTTTTTCTCTTATACTTTGTTAATTGTGGACAGATTTTTTAACATTGAGACATTTGTGTTCCTCAATTTCTATCAAATCAATAATATTCTTAACAAATTTTCTTCATTGTTAGACCTTGTATCTGTAAATATTAATCAGTTTAAGTTTAGCAAGGTACATGATTCAGTAGTCCTTGAAGATTGGTATCACCTTGCATTGGCTATTGATTACCTCCCAATTAAAATAATCCCAGCATCTGATACAGTCATATTTTGATTGTCATTCAATCATTAAATGTTGCTTCCTTTTTTTTGTTGATGATTTAAAGTTATTTTTTAAAATTAATTCAACAAATGACTGCTTGTTTTTCCAAGACAATCTCAAATCTTTGGTGAGATGGGCCAATGGTTGTGGTTTGGAACTCAATATCATATCTCTAAATTTCATTCAATGTCTTTCTGTGGTACTTATGACCATATTGATTATTCTTACGCCATTAATGATAATTTATTGTTATTTGCGGGTATTGAGATTGCTCATTTGGGTATTCTATTTGATCATAAGTTAAATTGCCATGCTCATTTGGATAAAATGTGTTGTAAAGCTTTGAAAACTTTAGGTTTTAAAAAAATAATTTGTAATGAATTTAAATTAGTGACTCCCAATTAAGTCTTTATATTGTGTCTTCGTCAGGTAAATTTTAGAATATAGAGCCATTGTGTGGGATCTTGATACCTCTTATAGTATGAATCAAATTGAGCCTGTCCAACGTAAGTTTCTTAACTTTACAGCTTATAAATTAAAAATCAATCATCCACCACAAAACTTTTCTGTAATTTTGTAATGGCTTAGTCAGAATACTTTAGCTGATAGAAGACTTGAGGTAAATTTATCTTTTCTACAATGCTTTATTATTAGTGTTATTGATTCTCCCAAACTATAAAAACAAATCAACTTTTTAGTTCCGACCTTTCATGTCCATCATATGTATTTATTTTCTTTACCTATATGCATCACAAATTATTTGAAAAATTAACCATTAAATAGAATAGTGAGTATAGCAAATAAGGATCCATTAACTCTATTGGACTAAATGTTCTTGTATAAGCCATGTATATTTTGTTTACATTAAAACTTGTAATTTGGTAAATCCATATTGAAAAATAAATAAATAAATATAAAAGTTTAAATAATTCCAGATCTTTAAATTAGGACGAATAACACTTAACAAAACCTAATACTTATAGAAATTTTTTACAGTATATTCCATATTATGTTCTTGAAAATTTAAATCATGGATCAAAATTATACCTAAGTCTTTAATGGATAATACTCAATTAGTTTCAGTATTATTTATAGAAAATGTGAAGTGTTTATGCTCTCTATATCTATAAAAACACATCAAATAGCATTAATGTTCTATAATTAATTTCTCTTAAAGAGTTGAACAGTCAATAGTTTAAGAAATAGGATTGTAGATTTTTAAATTATCAGCAAAAAAATAAGAAATTACATTTTTTTAGAACTGATTAAATACATCCAATAAATAAAATAAGTGAGTAATTTATGATTTACCCAATCAAAGGCCTTCTCAAATTTGCGTAAATAACTTAGATCATATTATGTTATGGATGGTGCCACAGCATATTAAAGCAATAAAATGTTGAGGATGTTAGCCCCTACAAATTTTTATAATTTGTAATTATATTAGCAATAAAATAATATACTGTGGCTACATCCATAATATATGATCTAAGGTAAATAACATCAACTTGGCAATTATTTTTGAAAGAATCAAGTATGAAATGCTGTAAAGACAAATTACAAGATTGGGTAGATCTACCTGGCCTAAAACCTGTTGGCTATTAATAATAAAAATATTATTAATTTATTGGTCTAATTATATGACTAAAAGACAATTTTTCAACAGTTTACAACTAGCCCTGATATTGGACTGTAATTTGTAATATTAGATATACCACCTTTTTTAAAAATTAGGATAATAGTGCTGATTTTCCAAATAAATGGAACTATTCTTTCCTTTAAAAAATTGGATAAGTTTGAAAGAAATTAACTACAAATTCTATTAGGACCAAACTTGGATTTAATTAGTGAACACAGGTCATCGGATAATTTTTTAAATGAAATACTTCAATGTGAGGGGAGAATATGGTCAAATTTTTAAGTAGAGAATATGGTCAAATTGTTAAGTAGAGGAAGATATGAGAGAAGTATCTATTGAAGAACTGTAGATCTATGAACAGAGAAAAAATATTAAGAAAATAAATAAACAATGGAGCAGTTTTATCTACTAAAAAGAAATATGAGATAATGGTTTACTGGTGTAGGTAAGGAATTGGGAAGGTGGGATACAGGCGAGAATTTAATATATATCTGTAAAAAACAATAAACCATTGCTAATGAAAAAACAATTCTGAGCAGAATTCAATTGATAGTGATAATTTGTCAACAATATATATGCCATATTATAGAAAAATAATTAAATAGGCTCTATACATTTTCTTTAATAATGTTTGTTTAATGTTTTAATGATTTCTCCTGTTTTCCTAAGTTTCCCTCGTTTTAAAATTTTCTGAGAAAACTATCTTTTTAAAGTACCTCTCTACACTTATTTCCTTTCAAAGCAAGTTTTCGGGTAGAAAAGTTGTCTACAGAAAAAAAAAATATAAATATTTTTGTAAAACCATAAGCTTTTTCACTTCACTCAGAATTTAAAATACAAAATTTGGTATACCATAAAAACTGGTATTGATAGAAATTTCCAATTATGTATTAGTTATGCTTAATTGCTTAAAGAAATTTTGATAACATTATATTCTTACTGGTAAAGGATGGAAATCTAAAGGGACTGGTTGCACACAGCTGCAAACATCACCATAGCCCTCAATGCGACTGCAAAACCGTCTTCTTCGCGCTAGTTGTGATTCAATAGCTATATCATCGTCAATTATGGAATCACTGTCTGCCAAATCGCCATCGTCTTTACTGTCTTCAGAAGCAGCTGTTATCCACGAATCACACCACTCATCATCTAAACAATATTATAAACTTATAATAATATCAGTTATATTTATCATACAAAATGTAATTTATAGGATAGTAACATAATAGAATGTTTTACTCACTCTGATTGTTTTGACTATGATTTACATCAAGTGGTACTTGAACACGCAACATGACATCAGTACCCCATGAGGATAGAGAAGCTGCGTTCTTAATATTATACTGTGGGACAAGGCCAGAATTATGACTATAGCTTTCGCCATATACATGACCCCCAACTCTACTGATGCTACCTCTGTCTGCCTCTGGATTGTCATTCTGGTGTTTGGCAACCATGGCCCACATGTCACGCCAACCAAGTTCAGACAGCCACAATGAGCCACCCGCAGTAGATCCAGATCCTCCTCTATTTGAATTGGTACTACTACCACCAGTATGCATTTGCAATGCATGTCTGCCTTTATTAGTCAAGTGGAATGATGCTTCGTCCTATTGTATAATTTTAGAAATAATAAAATTAATACATAAATTATAAGTAATAAGATAAAACTATTAATAATATTTTATTAAAATAACTTCTGCTATGAATGTTTTATTTTCACATATATAATTTTTGTTGAAATAATAAAATTACATTGCAACTTGCAAGAACTTGAAATATCTTATTGTTGTTACATAAATATGAATAAAAGAACACTCAATTAAACTTATTTAATTACTAAGAAATGATATTTATTAAGTAATAAATAAGTACTAACTTTTATGGCAAATATCATTATACGACCAGTAGATACGCGATGTAAAAATCCTATCAGTGATTCATCCTCCATGTATGTGTCAAATACTCGCTGAGCCATCACCATACCAGTTCGTTGATTTAGAACAACGACATGCATACCTCTACTGTTTGACAGGCCACTATAATCTATCACCTAGCAACAAATTATGTAGGATTATACTACAGTATATAGGACTGAATATAGATCTGAAAATGAACTATTTATGTCCCTTAAATAAAATCCACCAGGGAGCACAGTGAAGCATGCTATTCCATGTTTCTGTTTCAATTAAAACAATTTTCAATCAAATATCAACTAAAAATCAAATTTGTAGAGAAATATTATGTATTATGTATATTCTAGGTAAATATTTTTAGTACTTAAAGGTAGGTATTTTTAATTAACATAGCATCATTATATTCGTTACAACTTAATAATAATAATAATATTGTAATAGGTACTTGCATTGTTTTTTTCATGGCTACAAATGAATATAGAGTGACTTATTCAGTTCATTTTTGCAGCGTTGTTGGGGGGGAGGGAGTTATAGATATTTGATATTTTGTTTTGATTAGGTTAGATTCAGTTTTTTTTAAATTTTATTAGTGTTTTAAGTTAATATTTATAATACAATTTGTTGAAAATGCTGAAACTAGTTTAGACTACTAGTTTAATTAGTTTTAAAAATATTATTTAATTCTAATAAAACTATCAATAAACATAGGTAATTTACCCGTAGAATAAATAGAATTTACCAACTAATTCAATACACGTTAATATTATGATACTGAAATGGAATATAACCTATTCTACAACATGGCAAGTTTATTTTGCTTATTTTATTTTATTTTTGTACTGTGGAACTGCGTTCTTCTTAGTTCTAATCTTCATAATTATAATACAATAAAAATATTTAAAATATTTTAGATCCTGCAAGAAAAATGGTTTCTTCATACATTTATAGATTAAATTTTCATGTTAGATAAGTAATAAATTATCTAATTATGACTGATAGCAGTAGAATTATACAATACTATTCCTATTCAATATTCAATAATTTCAACATTAGCTATAATAATGTACATCATAATATTAAATTTACCGTTGCGTCATCAACACATATCCTCACTCGATCTCTACTTGACAAAACCTCGATAGATATGTACTTTGCAATATCGCCGTTCTGGAGCCATTTACTACTGCTATTATAATTATTATTGTGACCGTTCAACGTGGCTGTGCCATTACTAACATTTCGACGACTGGCAGTGAACAGCAGAGTCACCATAAAGTTGATCAAGACGAACAGGACAAAGAACGATATAATCTGTCGAGGTAAGGCACATAACATATTATAAACAAATTTTGTGAATCAAATATCAGAATAAACGAGATAAGTACTCACTTTGATGCGCTTCCAAGAGCAAAACTTACGGCGCATAGTGGCCGCAGTCTTTGTATAAGTGCGCACGAAAAAATCATTCATTGTCAATAGTCGCAGGTTTAGTGGCAGATTTTCGATACAACCATAATCATTTTTTGTTCTTCAAAGGACGACCAAATAAATATTTCTGCATACAACCAGTTGCTACATTACGTACACTGATCATTCGGTTTACGGAGACGGCAGTACAGTGTAACGTAACAAAAACATAAAATCGTATCGGTGTGCGTTATACGATAGAGAATAAAAAGTAGGTACCTGGTACATAATATTGTTATTAATATTAGCAGGTCGCCAGGGAAATCGTTTAAACCACTCGATTATCTACGCACGGATTTGAAGAATCGCCGTATTTACTAACAGTAACTGTTTATGGTCGATATTATTCGTGATAAGAATATTTCATTGTTGTCGTTGATTTTCAACGAACAGTCAGTGAGCAGCGGTAGTGTGGGCGTGATTGGCTGCTTTGCCACCAGTATGGTCTGAAATGAATAGGTATTTAGCTTACATAAAATTAATACCTCTTAAATTTGAAATTTAAATTATGTAGTAAATGAATATTCTAATAATTTTGGAAACTTGGAATCCAAATATTTGCCAGTTTTGTAATCATCCTCTTTAATTATGAGGTAGTAGGGAGTGTTTTTTTTAAATTTCGTGAAACTTACATATTTCACATTAAATTATATGTTTTGAAGAGTACTGAAAATTATTGTCAGTTTTTAAATCAATCCCTAATTAGGGGTATTCAGAGTAGAGTCTTGTTTAACGGTGGGTCAAGACTATAAGAGTGGGTAATTTACACTTAATAATCCATTTTCAATTAAATATCTTATAATATATACGTTTTATTATTTCGAATTATTATCAAATACAAATTTATTTGAATAATATTCAAAATCGGAATCAGTATATGAATCGCTTTCATACTCTTTACACATTACGTTAAAAAAAATACAACAAAACTTAAAATTATTTTCGTAAATTTTCCATTAGGGATGACTGGGTATGATAGTAACACTGGACTAATTCTAACACTAACAATAACTCGCTCCAAATTCAATATCCAATACAAAAACGTCAAATAAATACGACAGTTGTCCTACTCTACAAGAAACAATATTTTCTTATCAAAACATTGATATTACAGCCGAAGAATAAAAATGAAAATATTATATCTTTTTGATCACTGATAGTAAATAAAATGATAAGATTATTTTTTTTCTTGTAATCGTAGCATTTTACTCTTTGTGTTCTTTATAATAACAGTCAACAACTTTTGTAGTATCTGATATCTATGGAAGTTGTTCAAAATGCACTAGCAAGTAAATATTTTTCTCAATTTTTAAATTTAAAATATTGAATGAGAACAATTGTAACACTAAATTGTTGATCAAAATTTTATCAGGTTTGCAACCAAACTTGAATGTTACAAAATATTACTTTTGTCGCTAGCTCTGTTACTATTGTCCTTTTCGAAGTAAAATTGTAACAATTTTTTTTTCAATTCTCATTTATGCAAAACTTGGAAAAGTTAAGGTTTATTGCTTAAATATTTATAAAGGTATTAAGTTACATTAATGATTAAAAGTAAAACCAAACCAAACTTGCAAGTACAAATAATTTTACTAAAAATGTTACAATCATTTATAAGTTTCCCCTACTTTTACGTATTTTTAAGTTTTGCTTAATTGTTTATAAAAAACAACAAATATACTAAATTAAAAATAAAACCAAAAAGATCTCGGAGCAATAATTATCGTTAAAACGTAGGCGTAAACATTTAAAATAATGAAATCTTAGGTAGGTACCTACCGTAATAATTTTAAAAAAATCGTATTTTTCGTCTGTTTTTGGTTTTTTAATTATTATGAAAACTCCATTGGATATTAACAAATTATTTTCTCTGTCAATGGGTATGTATTAAAAGGAACAAAATCTATCTCTTTTTATTATTTTTTGATTGGAGCAATATTTCTGATAGAAAACATCGTGAACAAAAATTGAAAACTCAAGTCCCTACAAATTTTTTAACTGAATAAAACTTAAAAACATAATTTAAAATAATAATAGCATTGTTTCGCAAATTGTTCCATTCTGTCTAAGATTTTTTGTTTTAGTTTTTTTTTATAGTTATAAAAATAAACTACTAGGGAAATCAAAAACTGGCATTCTTACCAGAACACTACTTAGGGGGCTAGGGAGCTACAGCCCCGGGTCCCGACATAATGAGAGGTCCCCATATATTAATTTAGTTTTAAAACTATTTTTGTTTAAATTTGTTAAATTACAAAATATTTACTAAAAATACCACTTATGACAGAATTCTAAATTATTTAATCAATAATTGATAAAATCAAAAAATCGTGAATTTTAAAAAAAACGTGAATTATTACCAAAAATTTTATCTTATACTGATAATAAGGAAAAACAGGTTTTGTTATAAATGATTAATTGTTGCGTAGAGATATATATTAAATTTTTTTTTTATCCTACCTTCCCTACCTCTCACCTATAATGGTGGCCAACCCATTTTGCAAAGTATGTCCGTCTTTTTCAATATATGTGTTCATTATTTTTTGATTGATATTTTTTATCTTCTGAATGTATACAAAATTTTATTATTATTTTACTACAAAAATATATAATCTCGAATATAACCAAAAATTGTTAAATAATAATAATACTATCGTGTATATATTTTCACTCAGTATAGTTTGTGTACAACACCATGAACTAGCTGTAGCCGATGTTGAAGATTTAGAAATTTATTAGGTACTACCTATTGGTTATTTATCGTAAAACTATTAATTAAATAGTTGTAGTTATAGTCAAAAAGTTATCGGCTTTTACTAATGGAATCACATAATACACGCTAAGGCAGTTTAGGAATAGACTAGTTCGCGTTATTTGTAATATTTAAGTCTACTGCTCCTTTTATTAATTGTAAAATGTACAATGTTTTATGCTAAACTACCTATGCTTGGGGTATACCCACCTATTAAATTAGGTTTGACGTTACTATTACGGTCTTTCAAAACATTTAGGTGTAACTAAACTTAGCTCCAAATCGTTTTTCGTTATTAATGGTTTATATTTTATCATTGGTTACAGGTATAAATTAAATAACTTTATGTATCCCACTTTACCCATCTATAACAGTGGCTCCACCCGTTTCCAGTATCAGCTCCTTTTTTTTTTTTTGAAATCAAAATTAAGCGAACTAACATAGTTTCGAAATTATAGTTTTTTTTTAAGTTCTAATATTAAGCGGCTATTATATGTATTATTTATGTTAAATAACTCAATGTTGTCAATTTTATAGTAAGTATGTGTATGTTGTAGTTTAGTAGTGGTACGTACCTGTTGTCATCCCAGAGATCACAAGTTCAAACCCGATTTCTAAAAACATTTTTCGTAAAACCACGTCGGGTAAGTAACAAATGCATTTTGGGAGAGACCCAAGCAATCGTAATAAAAAATATATATTGTTGAAAAACCAATACTATTAATCGAGCTCCACTCAGAATCATTTTTCGTTAGCAATGATTTATCTTTGCTTACGGATATACATTAAATTCCCTTCTATATTCTACTTTTCCAACTTCTCATCTATAACAGTGATCCACACATCATGCGAAGTAGGTATGTTCGTCTTTTTTTTTATTATTATCAATCATTACTCTCTTTCACGATTGAAGATATTATACAAGATATATATTATATAAAGTATATATTTAATCGTGCTCTCTTTTGACCTTATTTTCAATTTTTTCTTTTTTTTCAATTATTTATGGACCCATGGAAGAAAACCGTTTTTTGAATTTTTTTATTCAAATTTTTCGTCATATTTAACACTAATTATATGTATTAGTCTAATTTTTTAGTACACACGTCTTAAGTTCTTATATCCGTGACCCCTACATTTCCAATTGTACACTTTGTATGTGATTCACTAAAAATATAAGGACTACAGTTTAGTAACCTTCTAAATTTTATTAACACTCACCAAAAAATTAATGATATGTAAGTAATTCAATTAAATCCCAGGTCAAAATTATTTTCAAAATATTGGTGATATGCATACAACTATAATGATTGAATAGGTATCCTACAGCTCAATAGATTATTTATAAGTACAACTAATTTGATATGTTATAGATCATCATATAAGACATCCGTGTTCTACTGATTTGCTGACAACTCAATTCGCCGACATCCGATACTACAATTATTTAGTTCAAAATGAGTTTACACTTGTAATTAAAAATATAATATTTTTATTGGTTTAAATTATTTCTTTAAATCTTTTGCCTCCAAGTATTCCATAATACAAATCGTATCATTTATTAGCCTAAAATTGTAATTGGCAACGTTATTAGAAAAAAATGAATTAGTGCACTATGAAAAAAAACCCTGTTTTTTTACCCAACCTTGATAAAAATAGTAGCAATATTGAATTAAAAAAATATTGCTTAATCTTATATAGTTTCATGATTTGCAATGTCTACATTGAAAACTTAATTACAAATTCAATAAAACAATGTATTGTTACCAGTTTTGAGTCTATAATAAAAAGAGCAAGGCCAGAAACTTTTTATACACACAGGTATGTAAAATAAAATAATTAAGGAGGTTTTGACCTCATGGACTTTCTAGAAATTTTTAATTAAATTCAGACTTGGGTGAATAAAATCCATCCCTTAAAATTGTTTCCATATTAACCATTGAGTTTAATCCTTTTTATATTTGCAAACAATAAAATATTCAAACATTAATAAATAAAACACTGTAAATATTAAGATAATATGTTTGTAATTAAAGTAGTTAAATATATAATTATCAGAGTTTTCCAAGTTTTTAGATATATTGTTCATTCCTGAGAAATTAATGAAAATTTAAACTAGGATAATTTTGTTTGGATTTATCACAGTCTTATTACATTTTTGTTCCGACATAATGTTCAGTTTTATTTGTATAGGTACTTCGTTTAATTTAAATTTTAAAATATATTACAATACATACTGATGCAAATAATAGCTTTCTATAACCTGTGCAACTGCAATGTTTCAATTTTTGTTGATAAAACCAAATAATAAGCTAAGGAATAATAATTAATTTCCAGACAATATTAATGTATAATTTTTTTTTATTGTTAATTACCTGGATTAATTCAGTTAAGATAAAGAATCTAACTGAGTAAAATAATATTGGTTTCAAAATTATTTTTTATTTTTTGCTAAAGTAGGTAGGTACATATTTTATACGAAAAAGGTGTTAAAGCTTTTATATACTAATCAAACTGATTTAATCAAATTTATAATAATATGCTTTTAATTTATAAACTAATTTTATAGACTACTTATAGAATGTATTTTAATTTTATTTTACAAAAATGTTATTGATTTTTCAGGTATTCAATAATTTACATACATAAATTATTAAAATAATAAAAATACTATGCTTTTCAGAGAATTACATAAATTTAAATGATAATACCTATGTTTCATGACAGGGCATAAATCCTATCATAATACATGCAGTAGATCTCAAATCATGAAATGTATTGAATAGAAAAATAATAATACATTAGATATAATCATGACTATGAAATTTAAAAATATTAAAAGGTAGGAAGTTAAAAGGTTTTTATGTCTCCTAAACAAAATCATTTTTTGACCTAAGCCCTTTCTGATATAAATTAATATATAAATAAAAACAATTTGGTTTTCGCTTGAATATTATCAAAAACCCTGTATCAGCCACTCTTTAGGGTCTGCATTTTGGGATAAAAGTATCCTTATGTATTAATTTAAAAAATATATATTATCTGCGTGCCAAATTTCATTCATATCTGTTCAACTATTTTTCTTTGATTAAGTCATAAAAATTTACACTTTTACATTTATAATATATATTCTCATCTTATAGGAACTGATTTAGGGGGAAAAAAGGAATCTTTATTTTATTCTTGATCTAGAACTACATCTATATTTGACTCTAGTGGCTTTGCTATTCATGGAAGATTGCTTTATATTTTTTTCTAATATGAAGGACTCAAATAATATTATTAGATAAAAATAACTAATAACTACAATGTTGTTTTTATTTTTAGATGAATTTATCTAGATAGGAGAGATAGGTGTATTTTTATATTGCATCTTTTTTTTTAGATAAATGTGAAATAAGTGATCTGAACCAGTATCTAAACTACATAATTAAATCACACAGGTACATATTTTAAAATTGTAACTAACTTATTAATTTGAAATGATAGATAAAATTAAATTAATTACACAACTTCATGCAAAATCTACATTTAAACTGAATTCACTTTTGCTGAAAAGCACATTGTTTTATAACTGGTAATGAACAAAACTATCAATTTATTTTTTTCATCTAGATAATTGAATTGTTATGTAATTTGTATCATCAAGACAATTAATTATTCTAGTGATTATTTACTACCTTTATATACATATTTTACAATCTATATTTTTACAACACTGCAGTAATAAGTATACAGATTCCAATAAAATTAGCTATTAACAAAACATTACACGATTTTCTAGTTTTTATTTAATACCATAATAATACATTATTTTCATAGACAACATATTTATTAACAATAATTGTACTATTATCATCAAAATTAATCAAATGTATCTATTAAAATTAGATAGTGATTCTTTACTAGTCATGAAAGATATCAAAGCATTAATAATAATAATAATAATGTAAAGTATATTATTAAATTAGTATAACTGATATAAAACTATATTTGGTGCGACATATAACTAAGAATAAAACCTAACCTAAAAATAATAGGCGCCGATACATTTTTGTGTGGGGGGGGGCAAGTTAGGATTTTGTCTATCGACCGCTCGTTCTGGATGATGATACCGCATTTCCGGCTCTGTCGTCCATCAAACCCTTTTGCAAATATTCCCGATACCCTTCGGCGCCTGTAAATATAACGTCGACCCATACGCGGACTGCCTGTCCCGTCGCCGCAGACAAGTAGAATGTCCTTTGCGCGGTTTTCACTACAAACGCGCACCCTTGACCTTTACTGCTGTTCGTGTGGTCAACGTAAACTTCCTGAATATCCTGTAATTTTTTTTTAAAGACGTATAGAATTTCAAATAATTACATTCTTCTGCAGTGACGCAAGCAAGACATCGGAGGAATTGTAGGGGTTGTAGTAATGCAGCTAGTAGAAGAAGTCAGGGATTAAAAGTAAGCCAAAGGAAAAGTGGCTGTATGTATTATAAGGACGCATAAATCAGATGAAGAAATGTTGATAAGTATATTGGAGATGAGGAAAGTAACTGACAAGAATAACAGTAGCTAACACCACTTGCGAGGTAAATGAAAGACGAAAAAGGATATACGCACAATAATATTATGATTTAGATTACGGCCAGAAGGAGAAGTAAAAAATCATCACACACCTGAAAGCGGATCGATGCACGTGGACGATTGGTTTTCTTCGATGGCGTGCTTCCCTGGTGACCGGCGGCAGCAACGTCTACTTCGTCAGACCTACGGTGATAATAGGCCAAGGTCCTCGACCGTCGATCGAACACAAACCATCTCTTCAGCCATTTGCGTCCACCACGGCGTGGGTGCTTCCCTCCATCGGTTCCGGAGAGCTTTTTCAAATAACCTCGACATGACAAACTGTCGATCCAAAAGTGGCGGTCCGTAGTCCCGTCGTTGTCCAACTGGTGGCCGGCTGATTCGATATGCGCTCGCAAGTCGAACGCGATTCTGTTTTCCGTCGCACCATCGCCGTCATCGTATCTGACCGGAAGATACCTGGTTAATGGTCTCTGTTGTGACATACAAAAACACGTTGCGTTCTTATAAGGTATGCATATAAGACTCCCGCTGTTAGACATTGCTATGTGTTTTAATCGACCATCACCTTAGTTATATCTGGTGAAGACGGCTTGTTTTTGGGGCGCAATTTTATCCCTGTCCCGCCGTCGAAGATTGTCGACATTGACATTCGCGAAGTCGAATCTTCTGACGCAGGTCTATCATCGTCCTAAAAATATTGTAATAGCATAAAACATTAGAAAGCAGTAGAACAATTTAATAATACAATGAAAGACAATAGATTTGGTTGGTATGGACGTATACCTACTTGTAAAGTGCAGGTTAACGAATATATTACCTATGGGGCAAATTTTAAAATGCTACCCTTAAAACCTGTGCCAATCATATAAAAAAAAAAAATTTATTATATCAAAACAACACCATTAAAATTATTTAATTACTATTTGACAAATATCAAAATCAAAATAACACTACACCAAAACAATTTAACTTAAAAGTTATATCGAAGTACTATGATATTTATTAAAACAAAACAAAATTTTAAATTTTGAATAGAACAAAAGCTATTACATTTATCAAATAATTAGCTTTTATTTTCAGGTAGACTTGCCCTTCGTTGTTATTTATTTTAATTACTGATGTGAGCATTTCATTCATTTCATCAACTGCATGTTATACATTACCTTCATTCTCTGCTATCACCTCAATATTATCTGCAAATCGTATCGTTGAAACAGTTTTTCCACCAATTTTAATTCCAATATTTAGTTTTGTTAGTTTTGCTTTCACTATAATTATAACTTTCGATGTAATCATTAAAATGTGGGGGTAATAACGTACACTCTTGTTAGACTTATTTTTTTATTTGAACGTTAGAATTGATTCCTCTTTTTTTAATGCAAGCTGTCTATAAAGACAGTTTTATATTTTTGTAAAGATTGTGAATGATTCTTAGGTTATGTTAAAAAACATCTATTTCTCGTAATATGAGAAGCATTTGATTCTAATTAATCTTGTTAAAGACATTTTCCAAGTCCACAAAGGTCAATTAATACAAATAAAGTTACATACACTTTACTTCTATTAATCTGTTTTTCAATCAGCACTCGCAGTCCTAGATTTGTTTCTCGTGTACATTTTGTTTTCTAAATACATTTTGATAATTTTTTAAATACAATTCCACTTTTCCTTCTATTCTTTGATTTGTGTGACACGTGTCAGTAGAGTCAGTGTTCTAAACTATTCACAGGAATTTGCTCTTCTTTTCTTCAGTATAGTTACAATTATGGATTTACAGTAATCATCCAATTCCTTTTCTTTCTCTCATATATTATCCTGAGTTAGTTGATATAAAGCATTCTTTATCTTCATGTAAGTACATTGGAATAAATCTGCTCTTATATTATCTGTCCTAGGCGCTTTATTTTGTTTCAAGTTGTAAGCGATAACTAAAATAATGTTTGGAAATCGGTATTGGTGGTAGTGGATCAAAGACTCCCATAAGTAAGTTGAGTTCAATAACTTCAAGGAACAATTTTTTTTTTAAGTCTTCTAGTCCCTCTTCTTTTATTTTTCCGATTCAAACACTGTTTACATTATTTTTTACTTTTTTGCAGAACCCTTTAATTTTATTCACTTTTCACTCATTATATTATAATACAATAGGTGGTATTGTTGGAAAATAAAATATATTCGTCTATTAATTGGCTCATAAAACTTAACAAAATATGATAGTATAATTAATAAACATTTAAAACACTTGCACATTGTCTTACAACAAAATTAGGCCAATCATTATTTATTGATAACGTTTAAAACAGTAGATTGTGATAACTGATTTTTTATTGCGTATTTGCATAATTTTATATTCTGAGTAAAGTTACATGCCCACACGCTACTATAAGTATACGCGCGTGAACCCGAAATAATTATTATTCAAAAGAGGAACCACAACCAAAACCGGGAGCGAAGACTCTTATATATCAAGGACACGGATAGACATAAAACAACGGCCGTAAAGCGAATATGTAATAAAAGTAAAAGTAAGGAATTGATTAAGAGAGAATTATTAGTCCAAAGTAAAATTAAAGAGTATAAAAGAGAATTAAAAGTCCAAAGTGGAAGTGATAAAGAATCACCAGTTGACCCAGAATTCCAGAGAAAAATAATCACCCGTAGTCAGTTGACGACAGAACATACCCAGTTAGAATTTAAATCAAAAAGAAAAGATAAAATAACAACAGAAATAAGTATGCAATGGGAAGAAGCAAAGATGCTTAAAGTTTTACAAAGATGTTTATTTTATTTTAAAAATTACCACTTGGGCCAAATGCCATTTTTATCTCCCCTTTTAATCCGGCTCTAGGCGTGTAATGACAGATTGATTAGATGAAGATAAAGATGAAGGAAAACAAAGACGGACATACTTCGCACAATGTGTGGGTCAATGTTATAGGTGTGAAGTTGGGAAGGTAGGATACAGATGGAAATTTAATGCATATCTGCATGTAATTATGAATCATTACCAACGAAAAACAATTCTGAGAAGAATTTGGTTATGCATATTTTGAAATTTGATTTTATGAATTTTATCAAGATATTCATCAATATTTGGTGTTAAAATCATATAACAAATAAAATACTACATTGAACTCAATTTTTTCTAATTGACCACTTATTATATAACTTTTATTGAATCTCCTATTAAACTTTCAAGCATTTCTGGTTGATCTATCTAATTTTATCCCCAAAGTACCTGCCGAATAAAATGTATGTAAAAAAACTGGTCAAATAGTAAATAGCTCAAATGTTTTTAGGTAAATAAACGTTTTCTTTCCAAATTTTATGCCTCTAATAATATTTTAACTGAATCACAACACAAATTGAAAATAATAAATTTCATAAATTTTCCCGTTTTCCGAATTATTATGAAAACTACTTAAAAAATCAAAAAATGGCTTGCTTAATGTACCATCCAGATTTCATTTCATTAATTTCAGAAAAAATACTTGGCTTGAAAATCAGCAAGATTGCAAGAGCAAACTTTCTAGTAGAAAAATTGTTCTAAAAGGAATGAATACGTTACGTTTAGGGCCATAGCTGATCTGTGTGCAAAACAAATTTACCTCGCCACCACTGCTGGCTATACTGCTACAACATGTCGTCGTCATACTACCGGTCATCAAGCTGTTGGCGTTATTAGCATCAGCCATCGACGACGGCGAAAAACTGCAATTGTTAACCATTCCTGCAGTAGTGTTAGAAGGCCACGGTGAAAAGGGCGATTTCGACTGTTGTTCCCATGATGAAGACGATGGCGATAGTAACGGTGACATTGGCGATTTTAACTGTTGGTCCCACGGCCACTCCAGAGATTTTAGCGGTTGGTGCTGTTCAGCCACTAACAATGAGCCGTTTTCGTATTGGAACGGGTGACGGCGATAATGCAGATCGAGCACGTTCGTCAAACCGGCGGCCGAATCTAAATCAAGTAATTTCTTGTGACCCTAACAGTAAAATCAGAAATTAAAACAATTAGAATATTAAAAAAAAAAAAACCCGCTAAATGTAACAAAATGCCAATACCTGTTGAATGGACAATGTCGCAGTGTTGATGTCAGTTCGCAGTGCTCGGAGTTGATCATCGCCCACGCTTCGGAGCTGATCGAGCTGCGCTCGTAACCATTCGGCGCGTGCCCGACGAGCCCGTCTTACGGCCACGGCTGCAGCGCGATCCCTGTGCAATTCTTCCCTGCGCGCCAGCCACCCTGCCTCCTCCTCCAACAAACCGAATTCCACATCTTCGTACAACTGAAGACATACATAATATATTTCAAAATAAAAAAAAACAAACAAATAATTATATTTGTCTTTGTCGATATTTACTTTTTGTTCGGTTTCCAACAGTTCCGTTTGTTTGTCGATGGAAGCTCGAATTTCGGTTTTCAGACCGTCGTCGTCTTCGATCGTTTCCAATCGGCTCCTTAACCTACGCATATCCACACGTATTATAATAATAGGTAGGTAGTATATAATATTATATTTTATTTGTCTCGTGTATTATAATTATATTATAGCATTTGTATCCTCTTGGTCTTTATTTCCCTTCGTCGTGCGTTGCTAGATCTTCGTCGATTCCACAAGTCCTCATATCTATAATCTATAATAACTCTGGAATGCTTACCCTTGGAGTGCTTGTCGGTGTCCTGCTAGTTGCGTGTCAGCCGCCGTCCTCTGCTCCTGTTGCTTAACGGTACACAAGTCCATTTGTTGCCGGCATTCGGCCACTGCGCGGTCCAAACCGTCTACTATATTGTCCGATTGACGCGTTTCGTCGTCCGCAACGTCAAGTTCGGCGTGCAGCAACGCAGTCTCGATGATTAACTGTTATAATAACCAGAAATTAAATCAGATTTACCGTATACAAATACAGTAAAAAGTGGTCCTCATCGTTTGGTCAAGGACATTTTTTCGTTAATTTTCGACGAAATATTTTGTTCAAAATTATAAAAAAAATAAATAATTTGTGCGAAGTTTCATAAACATTGGTCAACCCTAATAAGGAACAAAAGGCTTAATGTTAAATATGTTTTTGGCAATTGTACAGCCTAAAATACCTATAATAGGCAAATTTATAACATTATTGTACATTATTATTATATTATTATTACATAAAGAATTTAAACCATACAGCGTATTCCATGAAGACATACCTGTTGTAATATATCTGGAGATAATAAAGATAATCAAATTCTAATTTCTTTTTTTTTTAATATTACTCATAGGGATAATAATTACAAATATTTATATTGAAATTAATTTTTTATGCTTTAATAAACAACTTAAAAAAATAACTTTTTATTTTATTATTTTTGAAAAATTTGAAAATAGCAATTATAGAGTTTATTTTTCTGAAAATTTTTATGTAGCAACTTTTTATTTTCATTAAACACATGATTTTTAATAATTTTTTTAAAGTTCAGAGAAAAATACTAATCATTTATGCAATAAGTTGTAATCACATTCTCTAATTGATTATTATCATTATGATTAATTTACTATACACTTCATTTATCAAAACATAAAAAATTAATGGCAATATAAATATGTGTAGTCCTTATCCTATTGAATAATATGAAAAAAAAAAAAACCAGAATTTGATTAACTTTATTATCTCCAAAGATTTTACAATGGGTATATACAATGGGACACTGAATATTATTCTATTCATCTATATCAAAAATATTTTAAGTGTACAAATTCGTATCGTCAAAACCAACAAAGTACTTCTTTTAGGATCCGAGCGTAGTGAGGGAATTATTGGTTTTAATAAGATGGTTTTTTTTTCTTCTGGTCTGTGGACACGTTTTTTCCTAGTAAACTTGCTCTGATTTTTACATGTAGAACCTTTTCTGAAAGCTCAAGTTACCTAAATTACTTAAATAACTAAATACTAAATACTTTAAACAGGTTATTTTTTTGATTTTCGACGCCATTTCTTAAATAAAAGTACTTAATTGGGAAAAAACGTAGAAAAACGTACAATTTCACGATTTCATTATTTTATAAAAACACGAACGACGTTTTCTACTAGAAAAAAAGATTTAATCGAAAAATCAAAAAATATTTTTTTTGTTGCCTTTTTAATTTACTTTCTTACGGTATCATTGCCAAAACTTTTGAGCTTTTAAGGAATTTCAATATTTGAGAGTTTTTTTTTTCTGAAATTCGGTTATAAATACACTTAGAGACTTGAAACTTGGTCACAATATTTATATTGGACTTACCTAGAAGTGGTACAGTTTCCAAAATCATAGGACAACTTTTTTTTTTTTTTTTAATAAGCGCTTTGTAATCAGGTTTAAACGAAAATCGAAAAAAAAATTACGGTACTTCAAATTATGTATTATAGAACTGCGCTCGGATCGTCTTTCATCAAGACTTTGATCAAGACAATTGTTTATCGTTTCTTACAGATATAAATGAAGTAACCTTATGTATCCTACCTTCCCAACTTCTCACCTACAACAATGACCGATCCCACCCCCAGTATCATCTTTTTTTTTTACTTTAACCCACTTGAGGCAAGTCTAAGGGTTGTATAATTTTTACGAAACTTAATTTATTAGAATTATTAATTATTATTTTTTTTTTTTTCATAGTTTTGAATAAATCCCAGGAATATCCTAATAATTAAAGTAAAGAAACAAACAGATATACTTCGCACGGTAGGTTATTGTTGTATGTGAGCAATTGCGAAGGTAGAGGGGAAATTTAATGTATATTTGTACGCAACGATTAATCATTTCTAACGAAAAACAATTCTGAGCGGAGTTCGGCTATACATGTTTTAAAAGGCTGTAATATTTACGATTTGAAAATGATATACTTCGTAAATTGTCCCATTTTTTTTCTTATTTAAAATGTAAACCCTTAGGAAAATCAAAAAATGACCTTCTTATAGTACCACCTCAGTCAAATTTCTTTTCAGAGAAAGTGCAACACATGAAAATCTGAGCGAAATTGTTCATAAGAAAGTTGTCCACCGATAAAAAAAAACATCATTGTAAAACCAATACATTCGCTCCGTACAGAATCTAAAATATACACAAATGATAAATTCAGTGGCGGTTTTGATAAAACATCAAGGGAGGGGGTGATTTTGAATTTGTTGGGCCCCGTACCATAATGACATATATCAAATAAAAGATAAATGTGTTTATGATCCTATCATAAATTACACAAAACTTTCATTTTAGATTCTGAGTGGAGCCAAGAAGCTTATGGTTTTACAACTGTTGACAATCTTTGACAACTGTTGACATTGTTTACAATCTGTGGACAACTTTTTTAGCAAAGATCTTACTCTGATCAATATGATGTAGCAATTTTTCTGAAATGAAATTTTGTTGGAAAGCTACTTTAAGGAAGTAATTTTTCGATTTTTCACAGAGTTTTCCCAGCAAATGTGAAAAACCAGGAAAAACGGAAAAATTTGTACAATTTTAAATTTATGCTATTATAGATAATATACAATGCCTATTTAATTATTTTATCATAATATAACATAAATATTGTTGAGCATCACTATCAACTGAACTCTACTCAGAATCCCCCTAAAAACAGCCACTGGATAAATTATAAGAATTATCCTAGAGCACACATACGTATAATAAACACTCACCTCTCGGTCTATTTCTTCTCGGCGCAAGTGCAACTCCACTAACCGGGACTTGTACGACGACAATTCGACCAATAGCTTTCGACGCTGCTCGGCTGCTTCAGCCGCTCTCTCGGAAACCACCACCGAGGCCGTTGTCTCGGTGCCGCCGTTGTCCGTCGCGGAATTATTCGCCATAAACGGATACGTACGCTGAAGCCATGTCGTAGTTGATTGCCACGATGGAGACAACCGCGACTGATTGGACTGCAAAGAAGCCGGCGACAAACGCTGCTGCAACCGTTCCGGCGATTTCGACGACGAGGCATTGTTGGGTGGAATGTTCACACCGCCTTTGTCGCCGAGGGTGCCGTTGCCGTTGTACTGCCGATGACTACGGTCTCTGCTGCTGAACGTTAACAAATGGGAAAAAATTGGAACACGGCGTGATTAATATACGAACGCGATTCTCGTCGAAAACCAAAAGTTACCCGTCGTTGTATAAATCCGCAGCTGTGGTCGTTGTGGTCGGCGTGCCGGACGTGACCGGCAGCGTTTTGATTCTTGTTCTGGGACTTCCGCAGGCGGTTGCGTTCGGCGGCGGTGTCGGCGTGGCCAGCGTATTGGACGCCGACGACGGGAAACAATCGTTTTCCAAAAACACTGAATCGCTGTCGGCGCCGGCCATGTTCAGCGACAACGGCGACGAAAGCGACGAAGTAGCCGTGGTTGGCCAAGTCGACGACGGAGAAGTGGGCGACAGAGTCATCACCGACACAGGCGATAACGGCGATGTCGGCGACGAGTTTCCGCTTTTCTTGTAGTCCCGCGGAAGAGAACCGTTTGTTTTGATCCTAAAACGGGGAGGAGTGGAAAAGAACGTTTAATGCCGTCGCTGTCCCTCGAAGGAAGATTTTATAATTTATGATATTACACTTGATATGAGAAAGATTTAAAATATTATACATACAGAGACTGTAACAGGAATATTTGAAAAATAAATAGTCCTGTTACACAGTGTATATATATAAAAAAAAAACATTAATTTTGTCTACCATATTGCAATATTATCAATTGTTCAAATAATATGACGTGGTTCAGAAAAACATAACACTTTAGATATGTACACTTGAAACAACGTTTCTCAAGAGCCTATACACGTGCAGTGCCTGTTGTACCGTGTTTGAACCGATGGAAGAGAAGGAGAAAGAAGACAAAGCAATTAAGACGATACTATATACAGAGTGATTTTTTTTTTATTATGAACCAGAAATTTTCTCGGAGGATTTTAAGGATTTCTGTTTTTTGTTTAACCATTATGGAATGAGATAAGGTTTATTTTAAACCATTCAAAAATAGATATCCAATGCATTAACCTTCCCTGCTTTTCCAGTTTAAACTTTAAACGGTTATAACTCATAAACTCATAAATAAAGCTTATTCGATTCCATAATAATTAAAAAAAAACAGATTCACTTAAAACCCTCCGTCAAAATTGCTGATTCGTAATAAAAAAAATTACTCTGTATAAGTCACGTATTATTATACAATTCATTGGGGAACTTGAGGGGGCTAAGAACCTTCAAAAACGTATTCACAGTGAAGTTTAGGCCCTCTCCTCAAATATACTAATTGTAAAGTGATCAGTGTAACTGCAGGTTATTACTATAAATAATAAATGTGTAAGTAGTATATAAATACAGTAACTTTCAACTAAAATATTGTTGGAGTGCTAATAAAAAAGGAAAATTTTATGTAAAAAAAAAAAAAAAAAAAAAAAATTGATCTACGAATATATTATAATAATATATTGTTTTGAAATAAATCATTTAAATTTATTGTTAGGTATTTTAGATGCTGATTGGAAAGAAGTTTATGGTTTTACAAAGATGTTTAATTTTTTTTCTGTGAAAAACTTTTCTACCAGAGGACTTGCTCCGATTTTTACGTGTTCTTTAGCACCTTTTTTAAAACGAAATCAATGTAGGAAGGTACTTTAAAGAGGTCGTTTTTCAAAAACATAGGGAATTCGGGAAAAATGTAAGAAATTTAGGTATTAATTAAAAATATTACGTCTTTTTTATTTCCCGTGGACAACTTTTCCAGCAATAATTTTGCTCCAACTTTTAATGATAGCAATTGTTCTATAAGGAAATTTCACTGAAGAGGTACTTTAGAAAGGTCGTTCTTCAAAAACGTAGGAAAACCGGAGAAATCGGTACAACATTAAACAAATATTATTAAAGAAAATATATAGAGCCTATTTTATTATTTTACTATAATATGGCATATATATTGTTGACAAAGCATCACTATCAATTGAACTCCGCTCAGAATCTTTTTTCGTAAGCAATGGTGCTTACGAATTATCGGTGCTTACACGTATATATCAAATTACCTAACTAATTGCCATACGTAACGCCTATATACGGAAGGTAGCACGTCTTGAAAATAATAAATTATTTTAACCTGTTTTGATACGGCGGCGTCGGTGCTCCTGCAGTTCCAGTTGGCGAAGTATTTCCGGAACCTTCGGTCGGTTCGGCAGCGGACGACTGCTGTTGTTGACTTATTTTATTTCGCTCTTCATAGTCCACGCATGCTTTTAACACCTCGTCCAACTGTTGCAGGCACTCCGAGTTTTTCTGTTTGATGTTTTCCTTGTCGTCCTCCCGTCCGTCCGTTGAACCGTTTGCGTGATTGAAACTGTGCACGTGATGATGATGCTGTTTTTGGTAATAGTACTAGAAAAAAAAAACCGAAAAATTAAAATCAAATAATATACCGATAGTTCATATTATCTGCGATATAAGAAGCTCGGTCAAAAGTTACAAGAAAACGAATGAAACTTACTATATTAGGTATGTTTCGTTTAGTTTACACGTGCGCACACCTATATACTTCAAAATAGAAAATCAGAAAGCTTAAAATGTCCGTAAATAAAATAATGTAACAGAACAATAGATACAATATTATAATATTATGTATACAAATAATATACGCGTAACATTATTTATTATAGTTTATAACTCGAGTATACGGATTTTAGAGTGGTAAAATGGAAAAAAAAATCGTTTAAATTGAATCGATTAAACTCTAAAAAATAACTACAAGATAATATGTTTAAAGGTTTTTAAAACTTTTATTGTGTTGGTAATAGTTAATTTAATTAAAAACTGTGTTTTATTTAACGACGCTGTATTGTTTATTAAATAAATGATAAAAACAAAAGGTCAATAAGGAGAAGGGGGAAGTGTTGAGGTGATGTATAAATGAGTGCTGAATACTTAATCAGGAGAATAATGGCTTTTGACGGATTAATCATATAGATTAATGATTAATTGTATTCAAACGAAATCAATTAAATTATTGCGATGGAATTTTCAGAAGAAAAAAAAACAAAATTGTAATAAAACTGGCAATTCATTCGCGAAATATAATAATAAACAAATCGTCTTCTGCATTACAACTAGATTTTGATTTCGATCGCAATGTGTCACATTTAAGTTTACGAATCAAATCGGTTTATGCGGATTACGCGTCGAATCTGTTAAATGCGTTTTTCAATCCTGATTTTGGATTGATCGAACTTTTGCTCCGTATAGGTATGGTACTCCGTATAGCGGTATTCTATACTTCATTAGGTAGTTTAACGACAAATTTTGGTTCGTTAAATTATCGAAAATTTTCTTATCGAATACTATCGATAAAAGCGATTATGTATCATAGATATTCGTTAACCTAACAATTATTAATATTTTCATTAAAACCGTCGATAGCGATAAAAAAAAATGTCGATAACACTTACCGATAATAGATACGAGGAAAAAGATGTTTCGTATTATCGTATGTATTGTACCTACCTATTTACAATATTTGTATAATAATAATTTTTTATTTTTACCATAATTGCAATTCTTATATTGTCTACGATTATTTTGAAGTAATTTTTACTTAATACAATCGTAATTATCAGTCACATAATATTCTACATGGCTCTAGAATTTTTAATATGGGAACTTTTGCAGTTGGAACAAAGAGTTCAATTGCAAGAACGTCGTGTTGATAGACGGTTTTTGAGAGATGTACAAAATCCATTTGAACTACCTCTTGAAAAATGTATATTTATTTTTCGCTTAAGGCGTGACCAATTCTTTTATAAGGATTTATTAACAATGCATTAATCTTTTATTAATTACACATATAGCAAATAAACAAAATACGAAATACGGCAAATAATCAAAAAATAATAATATAAATAATTCAATATTATATTAGTGACACGTTTTTAATAATTATTAATTTTAGTTTGTGATAGGTACGAAAAAATCACCACAAATTAAGATAATTATTTATACATAGATAATTTATACATGAATGGGACATGTTTTATTACTCTAAGTCCTATGGTGTGATCGAAGAGCATACTGGTTACCAAATTGGTTACATTTAATTAAGGTGTGATATCAACCATAGGTGATAATGAAAACTGCGAAAACGCAATTCACCGACTACCGGCCGCCTAGCAGTCATCAAAATAAAAAATTCGAAAAATAATTTTGTTCTAAGAAAAATAAATAGGTGATTGCATTAGTAAAACAAAATTGTCACAAATTAGATTGATAATAATATTGTTTATCATAAACTAGTATCTGTAACCACATATAACCGTTATGGTAACCAGTACTCTTCGCTCACTGTACCGTGCATAATAGGTATAAGCACAATTTAAGACATAAACCGTGGGTATAGGGATGTCCCACGAAGATATATTCCTTGAATATCTTCGGAGACAATAAAGATAATCAAATTCGGTTTTTTTTTTTTATATATACTACTCACAGGGGAGACTACAAATATTTATATTTTAATTAATTTTGTTTTTTATTAAAAAAAATAACTTTTTATTTTATTATTTTCTGAAAATTTTAATGTATCACACATTTATAAACGATGAATAGTTACTAAGTAACAGCCATTTTAAATTCTACAGATCCGTGTGAAAACCGATGCTATCACGTAAACACGGTTGTTCTCTAGATAACATCGGTTTTCACACGGATTTGTAGAATTTAAAATATAATGTCTATTATATGCTTATCACCCACCATCAGGATAGTGTTTGATTGGTCAATTTAATGAAACTCTGCGGATTATTCGACAGAGTTAACGAAAATTATTCCGTTTTGCGATAACTGATATTGCGGAACCGCAAATTCGTTTAGAAAGTTTGATACATACTTAACGTACAATAATTCAACAATAGGCAGCGCTCGAGTTACAGAATACCGCTGCTGTATAACGGTGATAAATACGAAAATATCGGTTTTCATTCTACGCGGACGGATGTATAATACTCAACGTAATATTATTTGATAAATACCATAATGTTATAGGTAACGCGCGAGGCAGCTCTTGAAATAGAACTCTAATATTATTATGTACGCGTTATTACTTTTTTTTTTTAGTATTTTTTTCGATATGGCTCGAGTCGCGTACAGCCATGACGAGAAACACATGTGCCCGGCGCGAACGGCACACGCGCGCTTATAGCCATCGCCGAGCGCTACCACGCACACGTACGTATTATACGTATATCGTAACACACGGCGGATACAATAATGTTATTAACGCGCGTTCGTAAATTATTTCCAGCAACGGCGACGACGACGTAGGTTCGTGCGCGCGTACCTAGAAATAGACGTTCGATATTACAGGAATACATAATGTATTCTTCAATCCCGCCGACAATATATCGCGTCTATAAATATAATATTGTTTATTTATTTATTTCATCGCTATAATCCGCCGGTCCCTACCTGCAGCGTATGGATGCGTACGCCGTGATCCGTACGCATATTGTTGTTACCAGTTTTCGGTAAATTCGACTTCTTAAATCGTCGTCGTCGGGCGAGAAAGTCGTATTCCAAAACGCAATAATTCTCCGCGAATAACTATTATTGTAATACGCTATTGTTCGTTTTCAACACGCCTCGAGGTGTTAATTTTACAAATTATAGTCTCTCGTTCATAAACTAGGCGCGTATAATAATATTAGGCTTTACCTATAGTTCGCTTAAGTAGGGTTCGAAAGTTATAGGAGCTAAAAAGGGCAAAATATGTATGCAAATATGCACGAAAAAAAAAACTTAAAAATGTAATAAATATGGGAAAAAAACGATTCAGTTTATTATTCAAAAACATATTATAATGTCATTATATTGATATGCACGAAAAAGATAAAGATTAAATGTGCGATTCGTTAAATGACGTGTAGTTGTCGTTAAATTCATAACAGACTGAGGCGGTAAGTAATAACAATAAATAACTACGCGTTAAATAATATTGAGTTTTAAATAAAATATAATTTAAAAAATAAATAGGAATAAGAAAAATAATTTTTTTTTGAAAAATACTAAATATGCGTAGTATGCGTAAAGATATGCGAAAATGAATGACAGCCGATGAAATCTCGACTTTTTCTCTAAAATTAACGGAATATGCAAAATATTAATTTTAAATGCTTGATTTTTAAACTCTCCATTCTATAGAAAGAATTTCTAGCTTGGTCTGCTATAAATTCAGTGCATACAAAAAATATGCAGCTCCTATAACTTCCGAGTCCTCTTCATAAGTATAAAATTAAATCGAATTTATGGACTATTCTAGTGTATTTTATTATTATTCATATTTTTTATATGAATTTGCTAAGTTCGCTTTTGTTTGTAAATTAATTTTAGTTCACTACGATAATTCGTTTCACTATTGATTTGTATTACCTATGACGCGTTTGACGTATATACTATCTATTTAAATAATCTCGAGAGAACGTCGTACAGTATAATAATGCGTATATCTAACGAGCAAAATTACGTTACCTACTCGTAGAATTTAAATTGTGGCGATTCGGTCGATACCGAAATATCGCTTTAGTTGTTTTCCTCAAATAAAAAAATTTAAATTGAAATTGAAAATTAACGGCCAAAACGAATGTCTATTGAATATAAATATATGAACCCGACTCATGTTTCGTTTATACATTTTAAATTTTGAACGAGTTCATTCCGAGATTCGGTTTTTTTTTTTTTATTGGTATAATAGGTGCCTATATACATTTCTGATCGTCACACACGTACACCACGAATGTGCGGCGGGAGACAAAATAACGTATTATTACGTTTTAATTAAAAATGTTTCGACCGATTTTCGAAACAATAATTGTTATGAAATCCACTTTCGTAATAATTGCGAAATTGGATTTTAAGATAAGAACTGCGGCGTAGGTGCACCGAGTATATTATATACTATACTATATAAATTGCAATAATAATAATATAATATAATAAATCTGGGAGATCGTAGATGTTTTTTTTTTTTTTTTTTTTTTTTTTTTTTTATTACTTTTTACGAACGTCACGATTTGAATGAAAATAAAAAAAAAACAAAACAAAAATAGTGTTAATAATATTACTTGGTTATACTATATATATATTATACCAATAAATTATGTAGAGTTATAAACTTCTACAGTTCCCTCCCGCGTATCGAGATGAGGTCTACGAAAAAAAAACACGAGATATATACACACTTCAATTTCAACGATTTATGTACACACAAAGAGTGCAGCCTAATATACCTTTGGGTACCTGCCTATCTTGTGTCATTAAACTCGATGCTATTTTCAATTGTTGCGGAACGAAAAATACCTACTCGTTTTTTTCCTCTTTCTCTCCGTATTTCGGACGGTTTAATTTTTTTTATTATAAATAACGCATTTTTATAAACGCTTCTTTATTTTGTACTATACTATATAATATTATATATTATATAATACGAGTATAATGCGTGAATTCGTTTTTTTTTTTATTTTCTTCAAACGTTCAACTTCTATTTTTAAAATTGATCCTCATTTAAACGCGACCACAGGTGGTCGCGATCATCTCGTATATCAGTTTGGTTAGTGTGACAGTTCATTTATACTCGGGGCGTATTAAACTTTAATAATTGATGATTTTTAATTAAAACTAATTGGAATAAATAGGTTTCAATTAAAATTGATACTCTTAGAAAAAAAATGGTATTTGTATTTTAGTTATTTAGAAGTTAAAAAATATAGTCTTTAAACTACGCACATATCAAAATCGCAAAAGATATCAAATTTAAAATTTAAGAAAAATAAGGAAGTTTGATAAAAATTCGAATATCGATTATTTTCCACAGATTCACAATCAGATAATTTTCATTTGTACAAACTCCCAAACCCGATAGAATCCATTTTCAAATAGCGGATACTGGCGTGACGTTATTCACTGGCACATGATTTTTTTAATATTTGACCAATCAACTCGAAAACCATATTAACGATTGCAATGTCATTAGTACACCTCCCATAAAACTTACACTAGCGATTTGTAAAATGCGGAAATATGTAAAGTGATAAGCCGATAGGCACGTAGGTAATATCTTTTCCGATATCGTATATTGGATTTTCGTTTTTATTTTTTTGAAAAATTGATAATGTCATGGTATTTTTGGGAATAAACATTTCTATAAAATAATACGTATATCTAGTAAATAAAGGGTACAGGAATAAGTATTTTAGCCTGTAAGTAACTATCGATGAGGCCATCACTATTAATATTTATGTGGGAATTAAATACGTATACACCAACCTACTTAATATTGTTAATTTAAATTCATTTCAACCTGATATGTTATTGTATACTAAACGTATATAAACGTAAAATATCCCATCTATACTCTAAATGTGTATATTATTAACATGAAAAGTATTTATCCAAATTATTTTACACAATACGAAAAATATCCATTCAATAATGTATACCCTAAATATAGGTATACTTTGGTAGGTACGTAGATTATAATATATTAAATAAACATGGAACCTATAAACCGAAATGAAATACCATCATTTTATAGATAAAGTCTAATTAATATTATAGATGAAACCTTTAATAACTTTACTTATTTTATACATTTTTGTAACCATTCTTCAATTACTTTTAATTTTATTATTTTATTATTCTTTAATTCTTTAATTAATTACAACCAATTTAATCAATTAATAAGTATGACTAAACAAATATTTCTGACGTCTCCCCAGCACTCACAATTTGAAAATCAATGCTATCAGGTTAGGGGGAGAGTGCACCGTGTATAAATGAATATGTTATGGATCTGTACAATGGCAAAAAAATCGGTGACAAAGGTTTTGGATCAAATTTCCATTATGCGGGTACCAGCACAAAAGAGCAAAATGTAAAAACTTCGATTCAGAATATTATTGAGTTTTTAAATTTAAAAAACTTAATTAAATTGGTCAGCGCGCAAAATGATCCGAAAAAAATCTGTAAAAAGGGTTACCTGCATAGGGGCGAGGTTTGCTTTACTCGGACTTATAATAGTCTTTATTTAAAAACTAGCTGGTTAACGATTTTTAAACTGGAAAAATATTAAAAAATGGTAAATAAGAGTTTCACTTTTGAAGTTAATCTATTACACGAATGAAATTGGGTATAAGTATACGAGTACTTGCCACTACTTGGAGCGCATTGTCCTTGTCTTCACGGGAATACAAAATGATAAAAGAAATACAAATCGTAAGCATAATGAATGAAAAATTCGTTAAAACCTTATACATTATTGGACCTTTTTTAAGTACCTTCCTAGTGCAATTTTTTTTTAAAAACATGGCTATAACTATAAGCAGAATCAAAATTGCTGGTTGAAAAGTTGTGCACGGACGGTAAAAAAAATGTAATATTTTAGTAATATATTTCATACATTTACCGTTTTTTTTTTCGGTTTTTCAAATTTGATAAGAAAACTTCTGAGAAAACCAAAAAATGACCTTTTTAAAATACCCCCTTACACAGATGCTTTCAGAAAAGGTGTTATACTTAAAAATTTAAGCAGGTCTTGTGGTAGAAAAGTTGCGCACAGATAAAAAGAAAAGTAAAAAATTAAAATCTTTCACTTAGAATCTAAAATTATTTACTCACTGCGCACGGAATCTAAACATTAATTACATAATTGTCAATAAAAATGCCAAATAAAAGTTTCGCTCTGTGAGTGTACCTATCTATTTTTATCGAATCAAATAATTCCGATCAGAACCAAGTATACTTCATAATTATTTTATGATGCATACTCGAAATACACCTTATTCCTAGAGAACCCCTTTCAAAAATGTATATTTCACTGGAATTTTTACCGTGAATGTGCCGGTTTTAATTAAAAAATAATCTTATCACCGACCGGAAACATAACACAATAATTCGGTTATGTTCCACGTGAACAGCTATACCCGTATGATAATTTCGTAACAACAACCGAATTCCGTATTTCGCCGATTGATATATGTATTTTATTTTTTTATCTTATTCATATATTGTAATATTGTATAGTAGGTACGCGCAAGAAATAGGTGTTTAATTACGTAATACCGAGACGAAAAACTCTCCCGAATCCCGGAGCTTCCCACCGGGGGAGACGAAGATGAAGAAAACTCCGGGAGAATAAAAAACCGTTCAAGGGCGCGCTTGAGCGATTCGACGCTAGTGATAAAAAAAAAAAAATGTCAAAATATCCGAGTAAAAAAAAAAATATATTGTTTGTTTGTTTTTTTTTATTATTATTACCGAGGTATTTACCATAATATAGCCGGTAATACCCGCGGTTAACTCTCTCACCGTATATAATATTATTACCTATATTCACCTATATAATACCTCTCGCGTTTACGACTGCAGCGGTTATAATAATAATTTATTCCTATATTATTACTATGGTACCTATATAGGTACTTTCGAATACTATCGTTATTTGTATATACTAAAATATCTACGCGGATAAATGATAATAATAATAATACTATATGGTAATGTTAGTTATAGCAGGTTAGGTTAATAGGTCGAGAAATGTTCAGTTACGGAAAATAACACGACAATAATAATATTATTGTCCGACGGTATGTGAGTATTGTGCGTCCGTCCGCGCGCGCGCATATTATTCGAATTCCAAAGTCTTCGCTTTGACCCGACAAAGGGCCCGGGAACTTGGAATGGCCATTCCGAAGACCTGCGCAATTCAAACGCGAAACCCGTCGAGCAACACGGCCGGACGAGGAGCCTGTATCCCCCTCCCCCCCCCAGCCAGTACAGCTGTTTGGTTCGAACGGTCAACGAACACACGTCTACACAATAATAATAACAACAATAATAGTATAATACGCAGACACGAGGACTATTCCCAATGACAATAATGTTTATTGTACATATACGCGGTGAAATACTTCGCGATTCTTCGTTGCGGCCAAGTCAGCTGATAAAACCGTAACAAAAAATGTGCGCGCCGATAACCACACTCAGTTGCCCCCGAAAAAAAAATATAAAAACAAAGTTGACAATGATGTAACTTTTAATATCATTACAGGTATGGGTACTAACTATATACGAGTATTATATAATGGAAATACATAATGACAGCTAAACTATGCCGCTCGCCTGCGAAAAATACGCATATTATAACTGAGAAGAGGTAATGTATAAAAAAAAAAAAAAAGTAGCTGATATTTAATGCTAATGAGTGATGTGCATAGACAGTAAGTTGAAGGCAGAAATATGAACACAGAACAAGTGCGACATTAACTTTAATTTACACCTGTGCGCAACGATAAATTATAGCCAACAATTTATGATTCCTAGTAAATTTCAATTAAAAACATATAGTTTAATATACCCAATGGCCGATTTTTACTGATTTTCGTTAACATTTAAACATTAAAAAATTACTAAATTACGTTCAAGTTTACTTTTTACTAATAAGTACAACTTATCACGAACTTCAAGTAAAACAGTCAAGCATTTCTGCTAGACAAAAACTATTTATATGAAACCAAACATAAGGAAAATGTCAAATGTTAATAAATAGGTATAGCTGAAAACCTTCCGAATGGTTTAAATGTTACCACGCCTAAAAAAGGTGAATATAAGTATTGTGTGAAAATTGCATGTCCTTTAGATTATTTCTCACTAATTTACAAAAAAAAAAAAAATCAAAAATAACGAAAGCGTTATTTCCGTAAACATTCTCGTTTTTCCTACGTTTTTCCCTGTCTCTCTGCACATTTCTTAAGAAAACTGTGAGAAAAATTAAAAATTAACCGCTCCAATAGATCAACTAGATAAAACCTTCTTTCAAAAAAGGTTCTTCGCTTGAAAACCAGAATAAAATTTCTAATAGAAACATAATTCACAGACGACACAAAAATTGTTCTAAAAACACATCGTATAGTAAAAACCAATAAATTTCTCACCAAACATATGCATTATACTGCCCCCTTCTTTTCCGGATTTTGGTTTTCAAATACTACGAGTATTTAGTTAATAATGAGAGCGGGGCCATAAAAACGTTTTTTTAGTCTACAAATTTTAGTATGCCATTTGTTTGGTTGTGTTTGAGATATTTTAGAATTGTATCCATCACCATCAGTATTTCGGTCGTAGGAAGTCCAATTAATAATAAATTCAAACAAATGACGAATTAAATGGTAGTGGTATAGGAAAACCCAAAATCTAAACGAGGGGGCAGTGTAACGCGTACGTTCAAAAATCAAAACAAAATTGAAAATAACAGAAACCATTATTATTTCATAAAATTGTCAATTTTTTTCCAATTGCGTAATAGGAAAATTAAAATATAATCTGCACAAGGCCACAAATTACAGACTAGACAAAATGTATTAAATTTATTTAAAAATGATGTTTTGTCGTTTATTGATTGGAGTGATATTTCTGGTAGACAAATTATTTACAGACAGACAAAACCAATACAAAATGCACATCATAAATAATGAAACCAATATACCCCTAGCGCGTTTTTCGCCAATTTTTGCATGACGTGTTTATTTATTGACTGATGTACTAACGCGCGGGCGTAAAAAGATAAATTATTGATACCGCAGCTGTAAATAAAATAATATAATGTAGATGTGTCACAGATAAGAAAAGTCAATTTTGTACATTTTTCAATACAATCAAATCAAATTTTGAAAATACATAAGTACACGCTTTTTCACAAACTAAAATACACTAATATACTTCATACACTAATTATTTTAAATATATATATATATATATACATTTATACGATTAGCCCAAAAATGAAAAGAGAAAAAAATTACATCAGACAAAATAGACTCAAGCACCTCTTCTCTGGAGGCTGGGACCAAAGATATATTATTATAATGGTTCTAAGTTAAAATTTCCAATAGGTAATTGAAAAAAGAAAATGTGCAGTACGTATAATATGTCCAATATACATATGCAAGTCAAATGTAAAAAGCGTGCAAGTATTTTGAATGTCCAACATCAAAAACCAATTTAAAAAAAAAATGTCCAAAAAATAGGTTCCAAAATTTAGACAATTCAGACATTAAATTTCCAGATTATTAAAAAACGTACAATTTTACATAATTATATTATACAACTAGAGGCGGGCTAGGTTATGATACACTTAAGGACGACTGCTTTCCGCTACAAATTATTATTCGATCCAAATGGTACAATTAATGATTAAAACGAATTGATAAATTAATCGAGTTTAATAACTTTGACATTTTAAGGACCATACGTATTTAGACATTTCAACTACTGGATATTTTAATTAAACATATATTATATTACATTATGTAGGATGGCCATTTGTCCTGGATTTTTCATATCATTGCCAGTTTAGGAACCCATATCCCGACAAAGTTTCTCGGGACACCGCGTTTTGTTCCCGTTTTATACTTTTGCATAATAATGTTCCGGAAAAAAACTAACAAAAACGCGTCAATATAAAGCGAAGATTTTTACTGTGAAATAATAAAAAAAAACCTCTTTGGCTTAAGATAAAGGTCACAACATTGAAAACTACAAGGTGTCTACGGTGTCTACGTAATGAGAGCCCCTGATTTTATAAAAATTTAATCTGGACAATCTGGCTATCCTAATATATAACATGGACTTAAATATTCTAATTTGTCTATCATTTTTGATTGTCTGAACACATATATAAATTATAGTAATAAAATATATACGTAACATACTATTCACAATTGCTACTGTTCTTATGAATATAGTTAAAACTGCATGTATCTACTTAGATTAAAAGTTTTAGGAACTCCTGGTTTTTAATTTGGAAATTATTCTGGCTCCGATTCGAGTAAATAATTATATTAGCCTACTACACTGTTTTACTATATAACTTTTTTTCATTTTATTTTTACTGCCTGCTATTTTAGGTGCCTTTCGTTGCATGTGTTACAGAATGAACAACATATTATACATAGTCGTAAGAAAATCACAGAAAATATGTATAATCAATTTTTCAATGGATATTTTTTTTTTTAGAAAATGTAAGAAATATGCAGCTCTAAAATGTTACGTTTTTTTTTTGGTCACCTTTATTTTTGTGGGAGAAGGGATAAAATTCCACACAACCGGCTAATGATTTCTAATAAATAGTATAACTTATATTAAAAACCCCAAAAATAGATTTCCGTAGACTCGTGGCCGATATATTCCATTCTCTTCACTCCCTAACTATCATTAAATAACGAACTCAAATGTGGAATATCAACACCGACATGTATTTAAACCAAAACTCCGTATGTTTAAAGAACTATGATTACGTATAGATGGCTATTTGGAAATCACGAGTGGTTTCACCGCTAAAAATAAGACAAAAAAATAACGGTACTATTTTAAAGGGCTCGTTTCTTAAATATTCTAAAAAACGAATTCGGAAAAAGTTAACGAAACACTTTAATGACCACCCTGTAACATATAATATATTATATTTTACAGCTATCTGCCCCACTCGGACTACTCGGAATGCACAACAACAACGACAAACGACTAACATTTTATGATGGTAACCTTTTTTTTTTATTTATTAATGTAATAAAAAAAAAAAAACAGATTCCGTATAATACAACCCGACGGCGTGGAGAAGTAATATTTCCGTTTCAGATTTTTGTCAACTTGTCACACCGCCACTGGCGGTGGAAGTATTTACATGACGAATTAAACGACGATAGTTATATTAGACGATTTTTCCGTCAACGCAACCGCAGTAATAATAATAATTTCTTATATAGTATATATTATTATACAATAATAATAGTGCGGACACTGCATTATAATAATATTAATCATCGAACGTAGTAAAAATGCATTATTATCGATGAGAATATTTTTTATTATAATATTATTATCGGACAAGAAACGTGTCGAAAGAGGAAAAAAAAACGTTTTCTCATACATTTTTTTTTCTTTATATTATGTCATGCTGTCTATATAGATATTTACATTTAATTTATTATACTATAGTCGTTGGATTCTTATTATAATAATATAAACCATTATACAATTATTTATGCATTTATTTTTTTTTTTTTTAACTCTGTACATTTGTATGCTTTCAAAATTACAATTTGATTACGTTATAAAGGATATATTTTATCCTGTTCATTTATCACGAACCAGTGATTTTCTACGGAGGATTTTAAATGAATTTGATTTCTATTTTTTCTACAACCATTATAAATTGTAACGTTTAAAGGACCACGTCACTGATATTTGTTTTCCCTGGTGTTGGTGAATTGCAGTCCGGTCTCTAAATTAAATACAAGTTGCCGTTCGGATTTATGAAAGGGACATATTGCAGCCTGGGTTTACGAGAAGGACGTACGAATTGAGGCCACATAATAATTATTCTTTATTACCATTTCATTGATACACCTATTAGACTATTAGCGTTATCCAGGAAATGCGTTTTCTAATCCTTTTATTTTCGGAGTATTGCTTACAATTTGTTTATATTTAAGAGATGTTTATATAAACACTTACAATTTTTTACACAACGTGGTCATCGTAGTATAACACTTTAAGTGTTTTATAAAACCACAGAATTCGTAGTCTTTGTAGATGATAAGTGACTTACATTTTTCATTATTAACAAATTCCACGACCATGCGAGTGACAGTGTAATATTTTACGTCTGAATTGTAGACGCGTATCGATATTTATCTCCGCCGTTATATTTTAGATAATATACCGGTTTTGATACGGTAATTTATACATAATTATGAACATACAGCCCAAAAGTTTACCGGGCTGGAATTTACCGGTCTCCGACATTACAATCAATACGCCAAGCCGTAACTCACTTATACCACAAGAAGTTGGTGTAAAAATTGAAAATAGTGTTAAAATAAAGTTTAAACGATTTCATATGATAGAAAAAAAAAACCAGAAATCGAATTCAGTTGAAATCTTCCAGGAAAATCGATATAGTTCATAATAAATGGATCACCCTGTACACTAAAATGCTAAGTTTACGTTACGTATCACGTATAATATACAATATTTCGTTCGGTAAAACTGGAAAACGCTCGGCACGTTTCTGTTGATTCCAGCGGATTCCGCCATTGTGGGGCGCCAGATTTATAAATAAATAAAATGCGAGGGACTAACAAATAAATAAATACAAATTACGTAAATAAACAAAGTACAAATGTTTTCATTGCTTTGGTAAAACAACTAAACGGATTTTAGGATCTTCCGTTTTTATGGGATAATATACTAGAGAAAAAACAACACACTGTTAACTGTTTATTTAGAAATAATACTCCGGAGTATACAATCAAAAAAAAAAAATACGCCAAAATCAAAATTTGTCCTTAAAATAAAATGATCAAACAATAAGGTATTTTTTTAATTTTATTTAATTCAATTACAACATTTACATAAATATCCATTTATCTAAATGAGAAAACCATAAAATATGCAACACCTGTATAATATAGAGAATCAGAGGATCGTTGATAAATCGAGAACTTAAAAGATTGATTTATTATTTGGTTTACAAACAATTTTTAGAATAAAAGTTTTCTAGAAAAGTATATTTTGATCAATTGTAATTTGATTGTGTGGAGTGTTTTAAAGGTGTAAAAAAATTAAATTTTTAATTTAAAAAGAAAAACCTACTATTTAATAACGATAATTTTTATTCTACTATCTAATACTAATAGGATACTAACGAATGGACCAAGAAATATGTCATATTTTAAAATTGGGAAGTCGAAGAAATTTACTTGACTGTAAAGTCGTTTGTACATTTTGACTATCGATATCCAATAATAATTATAAATTTATAAACAATTATAAAAGCTGTAGTTAATTAAATAGGTGTAAATTATAATTTAAAAAAATGTACTTTCCTAAACTCCAGAATTTAAATTCAAATAGATTGTTACATAATACGATGTAACTAAATATATCAAGTGACAACAGAAGTCAAATACTGCAGAATGTATTAGTGATTAGTAAAACAAAATTCCACTGTAACGTCTGTGTTCGATAACTGAGTACGATAAACGTGTAGGTACTTTTATTTAGGTATATTAGATGATGACAGCAGCTGTGAGTCAAACTCAAAAATAATATTCAAATTCCAAGATAAGCATTAGTGATGGTGGTCGGTCAATAAAGCCGCCGCGCGACGCTGCTTTTAAAAGAAGTGGACTGGGAATACAATCATACTTTAGTATGATTTAAACTAGATTTAAACATAAAATATAGTACTTACTATACTTTTTTTTTTACTAACTTTGAATATTCGTGTTTATGTACAATAGCCAATAGCAGTATATTTCATCGGTCTATTTTCGTCAATATAAGTAGCGGCCGTGCAGTGTTCAATAACTCTAATTACTAAACCAAAATATCATCAACCGACAGTTTACAGAACTATTTTCATGCAATCTGACATAAATATAATATACCCGTATTACATATTATTTAAGTAAAGACAAAATGTGTCTTTACGACAATTTACAATAATATATTAAATATATTATTATACATTTTCGTATCTAGTAATGCACTATAAATTCAATGGCGCACACAGAAGAGAAGAGTCTTACAGCCGTGTTAAACACAAAACCTATTCAGCATTAAATAATATTATTGGGTACTATTAAAATAATAATTAATGTAAATTCTCACTACTATTATCGATTAATAAGTACAAACAATTTTTTTTTTTAATGTTTTTCAAATTCAGCCCTTCCAATTAACAATCCTGAATATGCCATCGACTTCAATAGTAATGTAACACTCACTTTGGGATTGTTGTCCTGGTCGACGACGTTCAGTACGTTGGCCAGCGGCACGGCAGCGACCGGGGACTTTGGCGACGCGTGATGATACTGGTGGTGATGATGGTGGTGGTGATGCGGCGGAAATCCAACAACGGGATTCCGGTCGTAGTATGGACTGGGCAAGGATAACGGAGACGCGGGTCCCGGCGACACCGGGACTGACTCGCGATCAGCCGTTGTCTCCGATTGAACGTTCGCGGCTTGTCCGGGCGAATCCTGCCGGTACTGATGGCCGTGATTAGACAGCTGCTGTGCCGATCTGTCCCGGGCGAGGGTCCCAAAACCGGTGGCGGCATCCTGTCGGTGGCGCTGCGGTTCTTGCTGCAGCTGCAGCTGCATCTGTTGCTTTTTCACGTTCATCACGTGGCGTCTAAAACACGACCGTACAACTCTCATTATGATAAAAATATTATATAGAATGTAAGCAGACTGTAGGAAAAAAATCAAATGGAAAATAAATAAGTAGTGATAATATAGTATTTAAGTAAAAAAAAAATTCAGCGGTGCTCCCATAAGGTATACTCAGTGTTGGAAAGTACTTGAGTAAAAATATTCAAACATAATTTTTAAGTAGATACTCAAATACGTAGTTTAAATACTTTTCAAAAAACTACATCTTCTTCTCCTTCGCCTTCGTCCCAACTATTTAGGGTCGGAATACCTCATTCTAACTAATACTCCATCAATATTTATGGGATTTTTAATATAGTTTGCTATTTGAAAATCAAAAGTAGGTAGTCGTTTCGGTAAAACAGAATTGTCCGGAAAATAATCAGACGAACTGTAAAAATCCGGAAAGTTTCAGTAAACATGCGGACTGTAATATTCCGGGAAAAAAACCATCAACAGCATTTATACGGACTGTAAAATTCCGGAATGTATAAATTTATAAACAAGAAAACAGTGGACTGTAAAAATCTGGAAAGCATAAATGACTATACCAAAAAATCTCGGACTATAATAATTTGGAATACAAAAATACGCAAACTATAATGTCCCGGACAAGAAATTTTCGGAATTTAACAAAAAAACACTGATAGATGGCGATGTTTTGTATACACAGTACAAACAAAATAAACAAATTAAGATTAAAAGAAGGTTCATGATTTTATGGCTGTTTTCAGATATGGACAAATGCTCAGACGCGGTGTCACAATTATCAGTATTGAAAGTGTTTTTGAAATTCTGTATTATTCTTGTACGTAACATTCAGGAAATTTCTTGTTCGGGGCATACAGTGTGCATATTTTTGTATTCCGGATTATTATTGTCCGGGGCTTTCTGATTTAGGCATTTATGTTTTCCGGATTTTACAGTCCAGAATATTTTGGCTGAGCATTTATTTTCTCGACAGATTACAGTTCGGACATTTACTGAGTTTCATATTCCGAATTTTTACAGTCCGTTCTATTACTCTCCGGAAATTTCTAGCCGTCCGTTGTTTCATCTCCCAAAAATTAGGGTGAAAAAAAATGTAAACGTAAAATTCTAGAGCTGCTAATTTCTTAATTTTCTATAAAACAGATTTCAAAAAAATTTAATATAAAATTAATACTTTCCGGGATAATGAGTAGTTAACGAAAAAAAAAAATTACTCGGCATATTGGAGGTTTAAACTAGTGAAAATCAAATTATGTTTATTTTAAACTCTGAACTCCATCCTTGTTATTAAATTAAAAAAATATATTTATACATTATTTACATCATATACAAGGTGATCCATTTAAGTAGGTATTTAAATCGGAAAATATTAAATTTTTTTGGAATTTATTTTATAGAATATATAAGAAACAAGCAGCTCTACCATTTTAAAATTTTTTTATTATTTTGTCACCTTTATTTTCGGGGTTAAAACCATTACTTACTTTTGAATTTCAAATGACGACCTATATTAAAAATTCCATAAATATATGGAATATTAGTTAAAATAAAAATTGGTATTGAACGTTTTGATTTCTGTCAACACGTTAACGAGATTATCTACTTTCAAGTTTTGATCGGGGGATGGTAGTGGAGCATAATATTTGTGTGGCGGCACGGCATGTTAATAATGTATCAATAATCTCCTCTTGTACTTTATACTAATATTATTTGTAGTATTGCAGATTGTAAATTTAATATCTTATACATAAAATTAAAATTGCATCCGTATGTCTGTTTATCAGTCCACAATAAAAATCTACAGTTTTATTCCGATCTTGATGAAACCTTGCACACTTTTAACATTAAAAGCAAGTTCATTGTCTACTTTTAATCACGAAATATAAATAAATTGAATTACTTTTTGGTCGATTTCTGGGTCCCCTTTTTGAAAGACAGACAAATTTCCAGATAACCACGATTAACTGTAATAGGGATACGGGTGAAACCGTATTCAGTAAATACAACGGGAAATTCAACTATTTTACATTGTACAATTTAAGAAAAAAATGAATACTGTCCTAATGCGATGTAACTATACAAAATTGACTCGTTATTAGTTAACATAGTACGGTAAGTAAAAGTTACAGTATACATAAAAAAAAGGGTTAAAAACCATTAATTGGCACCATAATGGTACTATTATTTAATATTTTAATAATTACCGAACTGAACGTTTAACCCTTTTAACCAGTTAATACCTATCAGAGTCTTGTTTTGATCAACATTATTTGCGATAGTGATTATTATTTATTAATTATTTTAAATGAACAGCGAAGTCTTTTTTTTTTCAGAAAAAAATAAATAAAAAATATTCCAACTTACTGTTTTTTTTTTTCGTTACCCATACTATGCGTTACTAATCGAGACAACAAACCGTGCATTAGAGATAGAGGTATACTTACACATTATATAATATAGTACTATAATAAATGTTATAATATACAATAATACGAATATTTTGTTATATCCATCTCGGCTGGTTTCGCCGACGCGCGCCGCACAAACGAAAGTCGACGTTACTGATTAATACACTAGTGTATTAAGTCATTAAAAATAATAATTTTTTTTTTCTAGGTTTCAAGTGCCCCCTTGTTAACAACGATAATCGTAATATTATATTATTATATTCGCATTCGGTTTTAATTACAACGGAGTGGCGGCGGGCCCACGATAATGAATTTACCGACAGTGCCGCCGCGCCCGATTATTACCAACGCTGTTATTATCATTATCATCATCATTATTATTATTGTAATGTTACGGGGGGATAGGAAAAAAAAATCTAATAAATTATTCCATTGAATAAGCGGCTCGTTTGACGTGAAGACGAAAACGTTGACGTTTGCAGTTTTAGTTTCTGTGCGGACTGCGGAACGAGGAATATAATATTATCTATATTTTTTTATTTTTCCCATTGCCGAGAGAGATAGTGTCATTTTTCGTAAATTATTCGTATTCGATCTATTCTTAAAATATACAGGGCGATCAAAAAATTTTATTTTATAGCAATATTTGCTCATTTAGATATTATCTAAAACTAGGTAGAGAAAAAAGTATACAAAGTATTCCATTTCTAATATCTATTTGAAATCGCTCTCAGGGAAGTTTTTTGTTAAAATATTATTCTTAATATTGTTTAACACAATTTTTTTTTTATTAAATTATAAAATTCGGCTGTTTTTTTTTTTATCAAATTCAAATTTTAAATAAAATAAAAATAACTTAACTTATTATACGGATTGGTTTAAATTATTTTTCATTGACACTTAATTAAAAAAAAAACATAAAATACAAATTAAGTTGAACAATAACTTTTCTTACACACGACGTATATGAAAGGCGAATTGTATAGTTTAAGTCACTGCAGTGTGCGACATAACTTGAAGTTTACGAAGAGCGGAGAGATCATTCCTACTAATCCTAAAACGCACGCATTGAGAAACATAATATAATACAACAACATACATCGATTAAAATTGACTTGACACATTTCACACGAAAAATAGAGATTTTTCCCGCTTTTTTTTTTTGTTTTGTAAATAACCAACTTTTAACAATTCGGCGATTTGACACTTGCGATTTAATTACGACTTTTTCACAGATAAATTTGTCACTTCCTAAATATTTTAATAATTATATTTCAATTTCATATACGAGAAAATCACTATGACTTAAAATTACGATCGCTCTGTATAGTATTATGTTTTAACGATTTAACGCGTTGCTCGTCATGACGTTATGCTTCGAGAAAAACCGAGTCCGTAATATCGTAAATTAAATCTATGGTAATAACTATTAACGCCGACGACTAGAAACAAAAAAAAAAATGAAAAAACTTTACGTTTACAATAGTATTTTGTAAACGAGACGCATTTATTAATGTACTCACCCGCCCGCAACAATGCGCCCGTATAACATTATGACATACGCGTCATGAGAATTATGGGACTACGGACGACGGATAAAATAATAAAATAAAATAATAATCGGTAAATTAATTATTATTATACGGTATAATTTATACCGTACACTGTGATACGATAATATGAATGTATACTATGAATACTCTGTGGCAGCGGCGTATAGTAATGATTTTGTTCAGGAGCGGGGGGGGGGGTTAATTTTTTAGGTAAATTTCGTGTGTCCCACATTTTTTTAACAGATTTATGTTTTAGATTTTGAGTGCGGCGAAGAAGCTAGTTTTACAAAAATGTTTTTTTATTTACACTTTTTTAACATTAGTCAAAATACATTCGCGCTATATTTTAAAAGATGCGGATTATTCGGCCAATAATGTTTTAAATTAAATTTTGTTCGAAATTCTCAATACTTCTTCCTATTAATTTCACTTTTTGTATTTTAATACTTTTTTGATTAGTGAAATACCTCAAACAGTAGGACATTTTTACCCGGCGGTATTTTATTTGAAACCCATAACCTAAAATCTAGAAAACCACGACAGGTTTAGATTAGAGGATAAAAAAAGCCATGAATTTTGTCTACAATAAGTAGATTAAAACTATTATCCTAGGTTTTATTGACACTGCGTTAATCCGTTGAGATGCTATTAGAACGCATGTTGACTTGGATGACAACTGATAAGGTGCATACTTAAAAAGTGTTGTGTTTCTGAGAGCTCACACGTATTTTGCTTAATGTGCACTCGGGGATCTGTCCTTCACACCGTTTCCGAGATCTTGTTTAATTCACGTTGTATTTTATAGGTACTCGTATTTATGACTTATACTCATAATATACGTACATATATAATATTAACTTTATTAACACAGATATGGATTATTTCGATATAAAAAATACCTAACCCGATATTTTGTTGTACCTACGTGAATATTATCGATATAAGTTTAACACGATCGAAAACTCCGTTTTAAATTAATAATATTAAAATTTTTTCATATTTGTATATAATATGTTTAACTGCACGAGTCAATTATGACTAATCAAAGGGTCAGTTGACTTTATCACTCTATATCAATGTTTCCCAAAGTAGGCGATATTGCCTCCTTGAGGGCACTAGAGCTATTTAGGCTGCCTCAAGATTAAATGATGTCGAACTCGGGTATTGGATGTTTTATAGCCTTGAATTTTCATTCAACAGATTCACCTAATAAAGCTAGGGGGTAAAATTTTGTATGTACACGGTGTTAATATTGAGGATGTGGCTTTTGAGAAATTTCACGTTTCACATTTCCCATCTGACATTTGAATGAATAATTATCACTATTTTTTTTTATTTTTTCTTAACAAATACCTATATAATGCAGTATTATTCTATATAATATCGGTATTATTTTGATAATATAAAATAAGGGGTAGGGGAAATTCGACTCTAATAACAGAGTTCTGTTACTTACGCCAATTTTTCCTTTTTTAGATTCTGAGTGGAGCGAAGAAGCTTATGGTTTTACAAAGATTTTTTTTTCTGTGAACAACTTCTTTACCAGAAATCTTGCTCCAATTTGATTTTTCCCAGGAATTTTCCCAGAAAATTGGAAAAACCAGAAAAACTATGGTAAATATGGGAATATAGGAAAATATAATTAAAGAAAATATGCAATGTCAGTGTAAATATTTTACCATAATATGGCATACGTATTGTTGACAATGCAACACTATCAACTAAACTCCGATCAGAATCGTTTTTTCGTTAGAAATGGTTTATCGTTTACATTAAATTTACACTCTACTACCAAACTCCTCACCTACAACAGTGGCTGGACCTGCGTGCAAAATTGCCTGGCTTTTTAATATTGCAATTTATGAACATTATAATATTATTTAAAACTGAGAAATTCTGGCCGATCGTAAGTATAGGTATTTATAATAAAATAATGCGACAGTAAAAAATTTAATTTCCGAAATTTTTTCCTTAGTTACGCCGCTGGTCGAGTTTTAAACATCTACGGTAAACGTTAAAAAGTTAAAGGGTAACTGCATTTATCAGGGTATTATAAAGGGTAGAGTATTTGAAAAAAAACTTTCCTCCCCCCCAAGTGTGAATAAGCCCCATATTATAAACATCATTAATCGTTACAATCTTGACGAAACGACGGCGCCCCCGGCCCCTCGTTCGCCCCGATAAAATACCGGGTGGTCTCAAGGCGACGTCGGCGGCTTCTTGTGTACACACAATCTCCTCGCGTACACGATAATAATAATAACATTAACATTGTATAATGAGTCGCTGTTTAAATAAAAAATATCCGATAAGCGCGGCAGTGGCACTCGACCGTGTGTGTGACGCATATTATTATTACGAACCGCGACCGATGATTAATAATTTATTATATAGTTATTATTATTCTTGTTGTTTCGTTTGATATTGACATCACGGCGATAACGTTTATCATCGCGGCGCGGCGTTTGATCCTCGTCCCGAAAACTTACATGGGTTAGAACGGGGGAGGGGGTAGTGGCGTAGCCAGGAATTTTAATTGGGAAGTGGGGAAATTTTTTTAAAATTGTTAATACTTTAAACACCACTCCGAGTTAACTACAGAAAACAAACCGTTACCATGTATAGCCAATATAAAACCAATTTGAACCAATAGCATTCAACTGTGGGGTGGGCTGTGCCAGTAAGTCTAATATCGATGTAGGTACCTAACATAGCGCTGTCATCGCTCTTCGGACCATTACTGCATCTTCTACTGGTTTAAAAAAAAACGACTCAGTTCACCGTGATATTATGCACTACCTATACAAATAGCACACGAAATACAAAGGTTTGCTCGCAAACAAGAGATGAGGCGAGATCACTATGTTAATCCAATGACCATCCAATTTGTGGACATGCATCTGACACCATATGACTTGGTTTCAGATAGACGCCACTTCAATGTAAGTGCGACTTCATCGACGTGTTAAGTATATTATATGAACATCTAGTTTAGTATCAACCTTTGGGTTATTTAAATAATAACGCCTCAAATCATTAAAAAAAAAAAAATTTAAACCATGATAATATTAAGTATATGATCACAGTATGTCATGTTTTCGTTCAGTATTATAGTGCATCTCCTCAACATCCAGTCTACGTGAAAATTCGGAAGTTCTCCAAAATTATGAACTACTTTAATATATGTTAGCCAAAAAGAAATGGAGAACTATGGTAATAGTCGAAGTGAAGGAATACACAGTATAAAAAAATATTAAAAAATGGAACAACGTCATTGTAAAACCAATACATTCCTTGCTACGCTCTGAACCCAAAAAGGTCATCACAAGTGTAGTATTTTCTTACATGTAAATAAGAAAATTAATAAATAATTGGTAGATAAAATGTATGGATATATCAATAACGAACAAATTATACAATTTATAACAACAGATCTACTCTTCTTGGCTTTAGGGCCATTTTATTCAGTCGTCCAACAGAGTCTAGTTGGATCTATCAGTACAATTCTATGCATATCCAATCTATTTAATAATTCTAATGAAAAAAAAAATTTAGTTACTAGGTATGTCTAATAATATGTATAGTATCCTAATTTTCAATTATAAATAACTAAGATGTTTTTTTTACTCTTGTTATTTTCTTTTTCTCGTCTCCATTTCTCTTTTAATCTAATATTGTACGGTACTTGAGCCTACCGGCATTTACTCAATAAATAAATATACCTCTGAAATTGTATTCTGCAAGTAATTTTGAACACTGTACCTTTAGCTACCAATTATTATCATTTTGGTTCAAATTTAATTAAAAATATTTATATTTATATTTAACACCTCGAATATATAATTTCAAAATTTTTATACCCTAACTATATTTAAAAAAAGGTTAAGGGGAGAATTTTACATCCAGATCCCCTCGATTACACCACTGGCAAAATAGAGATGTAGACTATCAAAAGGAGCCATCTATATTTACTGTTTAGCCATAATAGTTTCGTTGCAAATTTTTAAATAATTTTTTTATATTTTCGAAAAAAATTTCGGTTTTATTATTTGCCAAAAGTATATCCTTTAGACAGATTAAAAGAGTTTCAGTAAATAAAAAAATTGGCTTTATAACAGTACGCTCGGTCATGGACGCCCAATGGGAGGTGAGCAAAAGGGGCACATGTCCCCCCATTAGAAAATGTAAAAATAACACAAAATAAAGTTTTTCTTGAACTTGACGTACGACACACAGCCTATTAGGTTATATTGATTCACTCTCTCCCGCACAGACCTTATACACATACCTTTCTCTTCCCATTTATACACACTTAGACCTGTCTGTGAATATTTTAACTACACAAGTATCATTGAAAGTGTACTTTTGGTGAGTTACGTGTTTAAAAATATTTTTGTTAAATATTTTATATATAAACGATTATTATAAAATGTATGATAATTTAAAAAGCGGTTGTACTCATATGATGAGTATGTTATTTTTATTTTATTTTATTAAATATATTACTCCAAAGGTTTACCTTGAAATCAGTTACTCATGTTCTAATTTAATTGATAAATTTCGGAATTTGAATATTTGGTTAATACATATTTTACATACCTACTCGGTTTGTTGTTTACTATTTCTTTTTCGTGGTAGTAATCAAAACACATATCCTTTCTTCCTTATTCTTCTTCGAGAAATATCAACCTAGTATCTGTATTTTCTCTGTCTGTTTCACACGTAATATAACAACAAATACACATCGCACTTCAACGAATATAAATATTTGGTTGAGTTTAGAGGACAAAGGGACTTATACATTTTATAAAAATAGAGTATTTACTATGCTTTCGCATCGAATGATTTTTTTGTAATATTTTCATTTTCATCCTGAAAAAAACGCATGTTTTAATTTCTCTTAATTTATCCATTAATAACTTATTAACAAAACGAAATATTAAACAAAAATTGGACCGAGGCTTAGTAAATACTGTTCTTTATACAATTTCACATTAAATATTTAAAAAAAAATAGGCGCCTTAGTCTTAAACTCAACCAGAAAGTCGCAATTGAAATATATTTGTTACTGTTATGAGTGATACGGTCAGAGAACACTAATATTATCGTTCCGATTTTCGAGAGTAGCATCTTTTATTGAAAGTAAATTGTGTCTATATGTAGTTGGTGTATTGAGATGGTCATTTTTTGATTTACCTTGCAGTAGTCTTAATCATTTTTGTACTATTTCTTTTGAGAACTCCGTCGAAAAGTTTGGCCCGGAGTATTTAAATGTCTTAATCCGGAAGACTTGCTATCGAGTGCGGGTTATATTTCTATAAAATTTTACGCGCAAATGAGTAACATGTCTCTAAACGAGTCATATAAAAACGTGCGCAAACTAATTGTAGCCAAATATGTTACGGCGCTAACAGTGGCGGCACCCATTCGTTAGCATTTCCGCGAGCGGTTGTCATCCGTCAGGGGAGATCCCCCGAATACCGGAAGCCCAACCTTGTCCGCCACCTTTATAATATACGAGCTCGAAAACAATACCGTTTTACTACGGACGAATGATAATATATGATAATAATAGTATTATAATTAAAACCGGTCCGTTTTAGACAACATCTCGTCGTGGTCCGCAGTAATCCACGCGGGCTGCGGACGGATCGGGACAGCGGCGTGGTGTCTAATCATGGGAATTTATTCCGGTCGAGCGATCGTCACAACGATAAACAAGAAAATAAAAACTGACAAATTAACGGCAACAATCGATCTCTTCTTCTCCTTTGCCTTCTACCAGCTATTTTAGATCGGCCACCTTCGTTCTAAACTTCCGCCTGATCGAATATCCCACCTCACACCGACTGCCCTCATATCTACCCCGATCATCATTTTTGGTCTTTCTTTATTTTCATTACCATTCTTACCTACTGCTTCTAATTCTTTTTTTATCATACCCAAATCATCTTAGTCAACACGAAAATTTCAAATAGCTATAAATAACTAAAAAACTCCAGATTTAAAAATTGTACTATGTCTAGAAAGAGCTATAATATATAAATAAAGATAATGTATAATTAACCGGTGAAAATGTCCAGCCTTAACGATTAGTTTTCACTGAAGAACCTACAACAAAAAACCAAAATGTAAAAAATGACCGAATACCGGGGACGGCCAATGTTGTAGATGGATAATTGGGAAGGTGGGATACATAAACTTATTTAATTTATACCTGTAACCAATGATAAACCATTGATAACAAAAAATAATTAAATTTTCGATTAGGTGCTGCACTACATACATTGTCATTTGAAAATTGAAACCTATGTTAAAAATTGCATAAATAAATAGAGTACTTTAGTTAAAATATAGTTTGGTGTTGATATTTTTAATTTTTTCAATCCAATGACGAGAAATTTCACTTTTAAGTTTGAGTCATGGAAGAGTTATAATATGTTCGGTTCAAAATTTTGGTCTTTACCCTGAGACTTATTCAAATTAATTTTTTCGTTTTATCTTTTTTACCTCTGTTACCTATCCGATTTAGTTTTGCACAACAAATCTATAGGGTTGTTTTCATTAAAATGAGGTGACTCCTCCTGAACTCTAGGTGCACTGAAAATGCATTTGTCTTTTCCTTTGTTACCTACTCAACATGATTTTCCACAACAAACCGAGAGTTATTTCGTTTAAAATAGTCAATAAAATACAATATAATGAATTTCAATTTCAATTTTCTTTTAAAACCATATACCAGAATAGATATCTAAATAATTAATCACGTGTTAATGTGACAATAAAATTACAATTTTATTAAAAATGCTGTATTTAAATTTTGGATTTGTAAGATATCGAACGCTAATATGACATTTTTTTACGTATAATACGTCACAGTCAAATGCATAAATATGTGGCAAAAGAAACTTAGTATAGCTTATGTTGATCTATAAAACAACAAACTTCAAATAGCTATAACTTCTTTAATAATGGTTTCCGTAAAAAATTCAAACATATTCAATGGTAAACTAGATTTGTTCCAGAAATTGTATACATTCACGTTTCTGCACATTTTTAATTTTTATAATTAAAACATTAAAGACATTTAAAATTAAAAAAATATCTAGTTGTATAAATAAAATATAATAAAAAAAGATCAAGGGGCAGATATATCTCTTTAATCGCCTCTCTTAAATACGAAACTTTCCCAACGTTTGACCAACTCTCGTTCAAGGGAGGGATCATGGATTTCGGGCATAATATACCAAGTTTAGGAAAAGCTAATTTATAAGTATTTTGTCAAAGTTTTACCTTTCTACGATTTATTAACCAATGTACAGGAAAAAAACAAAACCGGAAACACGAAACCATTAATTCCGTACTTTTTCATTATTCTTATACTTTTTTTCCGGGTTTTATTCAATTATTATGAAACCGCTTAAAAAATCAAAAAATTTCCACTTGACGTACCAATTATAGATTCAGTTTAACAGTAAAGATCTTTTGTCGTTTTTTAATTGGAGCAAGATTTCGAGTAGAAAATTTAAAAAAATCAGTGTAATCATTATTATGCCCAGAAATATATTAAGAATTATTTACCATACAATAACTATAATAGTTAGATTATTATTAGCTTATTATTGCGATTTTTTTTGCCCGGGAAAATACGGTTCGAAACTATACGGTTAGTTACTTTCCGGATTTCTACAATCTGAGACTATGCGATTTACGCAGGGCGTCATTTCAGTTTTTCAATAAGGATGCAAACATTTGAATCGGGACAATTTTTTCCTTCATTAAAAAAATTCTCGATCGCTTTGATCGCTCATATTCCCATTTTACATTTTAATCTTTAAATACTATATAGAAAAATATTTCTGGTTTGAATTTATTTCTACGTTTAATCGACGACGGTGCAGCAATTAAATAACATTTTATGCGGGTCAAAAACACATTACAAAAAATTAGACTGCTGAATTACAGTCTAAATCCCTCGAATGACGCTCCTGGGTTCACGTATATATTTTGTCCGGATTAATACGGTCTGTGCGATTACTTTCCGAATTGTTACGATCTCCCGATTCGGTGTGTGCTCGCGGGTGGCTGTTGAATACGCACGATTAGTATGACGTTATATTATTATTTGATCAAAATCCTTATAGGAATCATTCGAACCAAACAAACAAAAATGTACATACAAATACAATGCAAAGCAACTTAAAAATTGTTTTATTCTACATTTTAAGTATTCGTATACTTATTTTATTGCAAAAAATCGTATACGAGTATCTTTTAGTTAATAATAATTAAATCTTAGGGTGTGTAAGTGCTCATATTTTAATATAATATGAGAGTTCAAAAATAGGATGAACATACTTAGCACGTGGCTGCAGACACTGTTATCTGTGGGAAGTTGGGAATGTAGGATACAGACGGGAATTTAATGTATATCTGTAAGCAACGATAAACCATTGCTAACGAAAAAACGATTCTGTAGAGCGGAGTTTAGTTATAGTGTTACTTTATCAACAATATAGATGTCATATTATGGTAAAATGATTAAAACAATGTGCGTTTCCATGACAATAATGATTGTTTAAAAATATTAAAATAATAAAAACTTACTAATAACAAAAAATAGATAAAACTGGTTGCCAATGGCAACCTTATTTTAAATCTTTCAATCTTTTTTTAACACAAAGAACCAGGTTTTCCTCATTATTTCGAATATTAATGAGAATTTTAAAAAATTGCCTCTCTAAAGTACCACACAGAGAACATATCCATTCACAAAAGGTGCTATATACTTAATAATCGGAATAAACTTTCTGGTAGAAAAGGTGTTCATATAAAAGAAAACATCATTGTAAAACCAATACATTTTTCGCTCCGCTCAGAATCTAAAATATATTATGTGTGTTTTTAATATTGTACAATTAAATTGTTTGGATTCAAACAGTCAAATCGTCGTTGATAACAGTTTGATAATAAGAAGTGCATGACTCTAGTAAGAACTAATCAAGCGTACAAACGAATTAATTACACGACGTACACGATAAGAACTTCTTTTTACTGCGAGTCGACCGGACTACCCGTGCGCGCGGTAAAATATTGGTTCATTCCCACGTCGCCGACTCCCATTTTGCTGACATCCCATTTCGCCGACATTTTCTTTTGCTAATACTTAATTGTGATGAACGTTGCTTGAAGTATACCTACTCATGACTCCATTCCACTATAGCCCATGTTAAAACAACTTGTTTTCGTTGTCGGTTTCACGAGGATTACACTAGATTTCTTAAATTGTCACTCTACTAAACTTAAATTATTAAAATAATAAGAAAAATTCTTTTGAAAATTTGTATGATCGTAGATTACCTATTGTTATTGTCAATATCTTTTGTATTTTTGATAATACTACATTTATATATTTACATTGGCTCATGCCGCAATCGCGGCGCCGGTATTTCTTTATAGTAATAATAATTTTATTGCAACAATAATATTTCAACTCGAAATGATAATATTGTAACCGATTTACGTGACGGCGAAACGGGAAGATTTTTAATACTTTGTAAAGCTGGTTTATTTGTCGGCAAAACGGGAGTCGCCTAGATCGGGAAGACACGAAAATATTCACGGTCGCCATCATGACGAATTTATATTATACCTGCAGCGCTGGGACAATGGCAATGCTCGCGAATTTACGCCAGTCACGTATAAGACCCCAAACATAATATTGAAGCCGATATAATATTGCTCGTGTTATAATAACATATTTATCAATGTGTATGACCAATATGTCGGCCGTGCGGGACAGGCTTACCACGGCGACCGTCAGTCCTCCCCACGGTATACGCGTAATAGTATAAATAAAAAAAAATTTCTATCGCCGACAAATGGACCGAGAGCGTCGCCGAGGCGCGTTGAAAGACAGGGGGGCGTTAGCGCGCGCGAGACTGCTGAAAACGGCGGCGACGGTACCTACCTATAGGCATATATCGGTTTTATTCCCCCGGATTCGATAAAAAGAAAAAAAAACGCGAAATAACAAACGTCGTTCGGCGCATACGGCACTGCAGGTATATAATATTACGCGACGATATTTTTTTTATGACATATAAGGCCGCGCGCGCGCGCTAAAATAACACGGCCCCCGTCATCGACGCTCGCCTAGCCGTCATTATATACGACCTAAATAAATCACGTTGTTGCAAACTTGTAAATACTTACAGATATCGGGACGTAATATATAGGTAGGTACACTGTTAAAACCGAACAAAAAAAAAAAAAACAAAAACAAAACAGCGCGTTAACGTGACTGTATAGAGTTTTAAATTTGTTTTTTTTTTTTGTTCACGCCGACACGGTTATAGAGGTCTATGATATTATGGAAGAACGATTATTATAATATTGCAGTCGGCGGCGAAACCAACACGAGGTTCGGCGGGGATCTTCTCGATTTTATCCCTTTGACTATCCACAGGGGCGAGCCGACATGAAAACAGATATTATACCCCCGTGGATTATTAATTTAGGTCCGTCGCCGGTCATTGTGATACTGAACAGCCAATAAGCCATACAAGAGATAATATTCTGTTTGGTCAGTGGAATAGTTATCGTTGCGGGAAATTTAGAGGACGCGATACGCAGAGTTGAATCCAGACAATTTTTCCGGCTGATCACTTTTCCGGGCTGGCTATTTTTTCCAAGAGGCGTATCGACGTAAAATGTGACGAGTAACGAGTATTGAATGGTTTGAAAAATACATTTTGTTGACAGTTTTATATTTAACATGGGGGGGGGAAACGAATGAATTTCCAAGGAGAAGCATTTTACGCCCTTCTCCTGGATTCAACCCTGCCTGCGCGTGCCGTCTCCGTGTCTTATAAACGTATGGCATACAGCAAATTCGCGTTCAGCGAGGTTCACTATAGTTTGAGGCCGGAATGATAGAGCGAATCGATCAATAATTTTGAAATTTATTAAGACGAGAACACGTTATCTGCGAAACGTTGACACTATTTTGTCGATTTATTAATTTTTTTAAACGAGATATCGGCATATGTAAAATATCACGATTTAATAACGCTTGTACTCGTAAAATATCGAATAATGGTGCCAACATTGCACGAACAACGTTCTCGTCTTTTTTGTTTGATAATCCGCTCACTGCTCACACATTGAAACTAACAGCGCAATGTTGTCCCAGCTGAACGCGAATTTACCACGTTTTTCAAGACACCTTAAGAGAATGCTATACTCGCATGTGCTGTCTCGGTCCAACTAACGGGAAATATTTCAAAATCTACGCAGCACATGAAGACAGGGGCGTAATTACGGGGAAGGGGATAGACCCTCTCTCCTCTAAGCTGTATTTAGGTATTGACGTTTATCTACAAATTTATAGAAAAGATTTAATAGTCTGACAATGTTGGCAATTCATTACGATGTTAAATTTTCAAACGAAGACGCCATTGATGAACTGGCTAAGAAGCCTAGGAATCTGGTAATAATATTGTAATATTTGTATAATTAAAAAATTGATAACAAAATTTGATAAACTTTTTTTGTTAATTTTTATATTTAATATAGAATAATTATATTGATATATGATGAGATATAAAATTTACATACGGGAGGAAACTAAGCGCCCCGCGAGTTTGTTATGCATATTTATTTTGATCCCCCCTCCCATGAAACCTTCTCAATTATACCACTGCATGAGGATACGTATATAACGTCCCCCCAACAACAATAATTAGCGGCCAGTAAAAATTCCGGGGGGTCGTGTAGTAGACATTACAAACGGATACGCGTAACGGGGCACAGTAGTAGTACGACGGGTGCCCACATAATGTTATAATACAGGTGGCCGCGGTGAACGGGAATCCTGCGAAACTGCAGCTGCTTCGTGACGAAAATTAGTTAGCCGGGTGAGAATGGGGAATATGCGCGGAGTGTGCTTGTATCATAAGGGATTACGTTTACAATGAATTATAGGATTTATTTGTTGGCCTACTCGTTCATCTGGGCTCAAGTTGTACGAGTCTTTTCGCGGACATTTTTTACCGGAGCCGCTTATCGCAGAAGAAAAAACCGTTTACGTCGTAGGTGGGTACCTACGTATAATAATACGACGACACCCAACCGGTTCGTATCGGAATTGATGTTTGCCCGCATTATTAAGAAACGTGATGCGAATCGTGACGGGACAATACCAATTCCGCGGGTTCCTTATTCATCCCCCGGCGGCGGTATTTCGAGGGACGTACCGGCGCGGCGGGGAGCCCGTTCCGCCGATTCCCGCGCGACAACCGTTTAGTAATCGTAATTCATTAATACGTACTTATAATATAATATATTAATAATAAATAACAGAAGAAAAATAAGAAAAAAATACACAGACCCGTGGTCGGTGTGCCGTAATCATCGCGCGTGTATAATATAGTATTATTATTAATTGTAATTAATAACGAGAAAAATAATTATGTACGTACCCGGGTGCTGATAAATATTATTACTATACCGATACAGGTATTAGGCGCTGTTTACGGTACCGGTTCGGTTAGGATGCGGTCCGACTCCGGGACGGTCGCGCATCGTATAGGTACGCCGATGACGTCCCGATCCGTTGGCAGGGCAACAACAACGGTAATTATTATGAAATACCGGCCCGGTAAAGAACACGCGCGCGCGGTCGACGGTCTCGGTGGTGTTGTCGGCTGCACCACGGGACACGGTAAACGGACAATTGCACACGACGACGGAATACGCGCGACTGCGGGACGAACGCGTACGGTGCGTGTGAAACGCGCGCGCCGAGTAGCAGTTGGTAATAATATTTTCGTACCGGCGGTGCAGCGGCACCACGGCCAACGGCAGCTGCCGGTCCCACGCGGCGGCAGCGTTGGACGCCGTACGTACGTATTATCCGACGACGCAGGCGCTGTTCCGCGAGCGCGGCGAAGAACAGGCCGCCGCGTTGTCGATGGAGAAAACGAAACGGACACGAAAAATCGACATCGATTTAACAATAATAATAATATCAATATTATTACGAACAATATTATCGTCCGCTATCGATGTCGATGTCGGACGCGTTCTTGTCGCTCCTATCCGTAAAACAATCGTCGGCGATGTCGTCATCCGGTCGCCGCCGCTGTAGGTACGTTATTGTTGTTGTTATTGTGCGTCGCGCGGAGAAACGCGTCTCGCGTACCGTACGTCGACGCCGCCGCGGCACAGAGGCACAGGGCAGCTGTCGTCCCGTGGCGCGGCGGCGGCGGAGAGGTGCGTACACAATAATATCGGTGGCCGCGCCGTTCCGTACCGCACGACAAAACGATTTGACGCGCACGCGCAAGACGAATACAATAACTATAATACGTCCGTTTTGGTACACGTTTTTATTATAAGATAATATTATATAGGTATATATATCGTTATTATACTCGACGTGTTTTTCTTTGTGCATTTTCGCCTGTGGAAAAAAATAGAATTTTTTTTTTTTTGAGCAAACGTATCCAACATACTTACCTACCTACCCGGAATATACCCGTCAATTACAAGGCTAACGGACGGGACATAAAACGTCGGCCAAGTGGGCGGTGATAATGTATATATAGTGTGCGTGTGTGTGTGTGTGTGTGTGTGTGTGTGTGTGTATAAGACTGACCTAGTCTTTTAGAAATAGTTTTCCAGGAAATATCCAAGAGAAAAAAAAAATTAAATACTTCGATGGGCGCCAGAATTCGTTGCGAGCGTTAAAATTCCGATTCGAACCATTGACGCAGATGTCAGGGATCTTTAATCCGCTGTGGTCTTCGTACGTGTAAAATTGGCATTGACCAATAAACTATTGTAACTATCAATCGATCCCCTGAGCTTCCAAAATGTGGATAAAAAAATAAAAAAGAAGGGTGAGATAATGGGGACGGGTGCGGCCATAGATGTGTAGGTGAGAAATTGGGAAGGTAGGATACAAACGGGAATTTAATGTAAATCTATAAGCAACTATAAACCATTGCTTACGAAATAACAATTCTGAACGAAGTTAAGTTAATAATGATGCTTTGTCTACAATATAGGTATATGACATATTAAAGTAAAATAATTAAATAGGCTCTATATATTTTCTATATATATATCATTTATAGTAAAAGAAATAAATGAATAGGCTTTATATAATTTCTTTAATAATATTAGTTTAATGTTTTACCAATTTTCCCAATTTTCCTACGTTTTTCCCGGTTTTTCACATTTACCGGGAAAACTCTTGGGAAAATCATAAAATGGCCACTTTAAAGTACCTCCCAAGAGAAATTTTCTTTCAGAAACATTGCTATCATTAAAAGTTGGAGCGAAGTTGCTAGTAAAAAAGTTGTGCACAAAAAAAAAATCGTAAATTATATTTGTTAAATTTGTTAAATTCTCCCGTTTTTTTTTTCACTCTTTCGCATTAGATGAAAAGGTGCTCCAAGCAAGTCTTCTGGTAGAAAAGTTGCGCACATAAAAAAAAAAATTAAATATCTTTGTAAAACCATAAGCTTTTTCGCTCTATTAAGAAACTAAAACCATGCGAGTTTATAAGCGAAACCTAAAAGGTGACATACGAATTGCAGACACAAAATATATTACACCCTGATTGCGGACAAATTTCCCATCACTATTTTTGATTGCGGGCACGGATTGCCCAACTGACGTTGGGCAATTTGTGTTATTGGAATATCGACGAGTGACATTATCAATTACTATTTAGTTATTTGACAACTATTTTAATTGTTATTTATCAGAATTCAGAATTACTATTGTGCCAGTGCTTTTGAAACAGTAGTCAACAAAATTTTAAATCTGTTCAACAAGGACTCATGCTTATAGCTGTTTAAATATCTGTTTAAAAATTAGAGCTGTGCACCGGTACGTATCCAAGGGAGAGAGCTGGGTTTGCCTGGCCCCCTTAAATTTAAATGTATTTATTTTCTCTCCCTATGATCAAAATGGAACAGTATTATAGATTATTCTACGTGTGCGATGAGAAATATTCATAATTGTTTATACGTTTTACTGTTTACGAACACGTGGGGATTGCATGTAAAACAGACATTTGATAAAAAGTAGCAATCATATTGTTATTAGTTATATTATGACTTGTAAAAAGTAATTATTCTTAGGTATAAACTTTATCTCTCGTTTATTCCAGTCCTATACTTTATATAAATTATTTTACCGTCGTGTATTGGGCACTGCGTAGTATTTTACGCGTTCGAATTGACTATAAAACGTCACGCGATAAATACAATATAAATATATAGGTATATCTAATTTTAATAAATATTACGGCCTTTAAAAACATGTATAACCGAACTTCGCTCCGAATTGTTTTTCGTTAGCAATGGTTTATCGTTGCTTACGATTAATTTACTCAATATATCCCATCTTACAACTTCTTTCCTAAAACAGTGACACAAACCTGTCAGCAGTTTTAGGCTATTTTATTGTAATTCGGTTAAAAAAACCGTAGTGATCATCAATTTTCACAGAATAATATTTACATTAGAATTTATTTAACTGTACGTGATAAAATCAATAAATGATGGCAATTTTTGCATTTCTATTTGGTAGGTAATATAATGTGAATAAACATATTGATTGACTAAACATAAATACTTGACAATTTAACACGTGATTTATTATCAGTTGTATTTAGTGGTGAAAAAAAAGTTAAGTGTAATGCAGTACTTAGTATTTTTATAAGTGTTTTAAGATAAAATGTTGATAAAATCGGAAAAATTACGGCATTTTAAGACATGTGCAAGTACAACCGAAATTCACTCAAAATTGTTTTTCATCAATAATGGTTAAAAAGAAATAACATTATGTATCGTCCCAACTTCCCATCTACTACAGTGCACATCTATCTCCAGTATCAGAAGTTTTTTCAGCGTCTCAGTGAATGAAAAATGTATCTACTATGTTTTACTACAATGTGGTTTAGATTCTGAGCGGAGCGTGGTGTTTGGTTTTAAAATGATATTTATTTTTTTTTTCTGTGAACAACTTTTCTACCAGAAATCTTGCTACATATGTAATATGTTTAGGTTGCGATTTTAATAATTTTTTAAAAAATTCCTTTTACAATAAAAATTTAAAAAATCAAGATTTAATTATGTTAATTCTAAGTGTTTCAAAGTATTCATATAAATACACGAACAAAAAAAAAAAAATAATAAAATAAATAAATACTTATTGAAGTAAAATTGTAACCGTATAATAAAATTTAGAATATTTAGCATATAGTTTTCATGGTCGTTGAGGATCACTTTTTAGAATTTTATTTTGCATCCAACTAACTTTTATTCAAATTAGTGTTAATTAAAATATATTGAAAATATATATGTACTTAATCTAAATACTATACCTAATTATAAAATATATTATTTAATATTTAGACAATTATTTATAGTAGGTAGTTTATTTTAAGGTATTAAAAGTAGGTAGCATAACATTCCATTATATGAATTATAATAATTATATATATGGACAATGAACATTTATTATATTAATTATAAACATTGTTGATTACTATTTAGAACAGACAAGGCTCTCCCAGTATTTGTAAACGATGTAATGATGTAAAAGAATTTAGCCTGTGCATTTTTAAGTTAAATTTGTCAGTGGCAAATTTCTATGGATACTCATAATTGTAAAATGTAGACTGTCAAGTTACTACTTACATAATATATTCCAATAGGTATATAATTAAATTTAATGTTTAAAATGTTCAAAAATTATAGGATTTAATTGCATTCGCTTGAAACAAAAAAGTAAATTGCCCTCATAAGTCTTAACAATGTTTACATGAACGGACATCTAGTGTACAGTATAACAAAGACTTTTCAATCTTTAGGTTAATGAAAAATAAAAATAAAATATATTGTATTCTTTTTCTATTGTCAATTTTTTATATTTTATGTATTATGAAATTTTTGATAAATTTATATTATAGATTATGTTATAATTTTTTCGACAAATAAAGAACTTTTTATTTCTAGGGTAGTTATGGCTGATGATTTACCAACATAATGTAATTATTTGCGTTTCATGGCTAATAAATTTTTTTGGTTTTTTTTCATCAACTAATAGGACCATATTTGTTCCTTTTTAAATTCTGATCATTTAGCTTTGTGTAAATTTTAGTTAGCTATAATTTAAAGCATAAAAACAAATAAAATACACGAAATTAGAATCGATGGTACTATCACAAATTAAATATAAACATACTTCCATTTGATCTACACTAATATACGTATATCTGATAGATTTCCCGGTAGTTTTTGTAATGAGCATTTTATTAATATTATTATTATTATTTTTTTTTTGTTTTATGATGTGCGGTCGATTGTTGGCCCACACGTTTTTAATCAATCATCGTCCGTTATTATTATCATTATCGAGAAGTGTTCGACTACTAAAACTGGGCGTCGTCCGTGACTGTCAGCGATCCAACGCGAAATTAAGTGTGAATGGTTGTGATACAAAAAACAGTCGTACATTTTATAATATATTACTAAGATACGTATTTACCTCGCATTTATACGGTACGAAATTTACTATGATATTATTTCGTGCGTCGTACAAAAAAAATATTTGCGTTAGTTTGTCGTTCGATGAGATTATTTTTGTCGGAGTCCCTACACGATTTCGATATTAGGCGTCTTAGTAAGTATATAATATTTCGATATTTTATTATTTTCTCACGGTGATGGTCCATCACTCATTTCGTTACGTCACATTTGATGCGCGTTTCGGATTCGGTC